TGTCAGGATCTGTCACAGACAATGATGCATGTGGCACAGATTGGGAAAAATGGATACCTCAGATCGGTAAGACAAAAGTTAATTTATATTTATAGAAATTATATATATGTTTCAGGGATGTATGTTGCTAACATTAAAAATAACATGTTTATAAATGGTCTTTTTCAGTATCAAATCTGAAATTTCTATTGAAACATTTTTAGATCTAATTATTTTGAAATATAGATAGGCCTATGTGTTTGTTTTTGAGATACAATCGTTTGAAAACTTTTGGCGGACAAACATGTGCAGATATGTTTAGACCAAATATAACATATATATTGGAAGCAATGATGGCTTAAAACTCGATTGATATCTGAAAGATCAATTTTGGCATATACGTGAATGGGGTTATTTGATTGATTGACAAACATTTTGAATTTCAATTCTTTATGGCCAAACAGTGGCAATAACTTGAGTTCCATCTGATGAAGGGAGTAAATATCTAATAGCATAAATCATTTTCTAGTTAAGAGGAGCTTATAAAACAAACTTTAAATTTACTTATTTTCCCAGCCCTTTTCGTGTTCTTAAACACATAAAGCTTCAACAAGAGCATCCTACCAGATCTTTAGTTTGCCATTTTCTCCATCTGATTCAAGGTGTAACCATGTCTTTTTATCTCTTTAGATGTGCGTATTTTCTCAATGTGCATTTTTGATTTCCTTGCTGCAATATCCTATTTTGTGTCCATGTCAATACTTTGTCATATGTCGGTTGTTACCCATTCTTAATAAATGACACACATATATATATATTGTCGAAATCCGGATATGGTGTACAAATTTTTGCACCTCATGTTTGCGGTATACCATCTTTTCCGCAAAGATGATCATAACTGTTTTTTTTTTCGATAGTTCTTAAAAATTAGGTATGACCATCTGATGTTCATAATTAGTCTTAAATGACGTCCTTTAACTCCGCTAAGTCGACTTTCCGATTATTTAGTTGTTTGCTATGTTTCTGCATCGCACAACAGACCTAGTTTAGGTACACTAGTATAAAATAGATATGACAAAAATGAAAAATTTATAGAGTTAGCTTCTAATGATACTGGGGCCTCGGTGGCCGAGTGGTCTAAGTAGTTACTACTGTAATCACTAGCCAGTCAACACTGAGGTTGTGAGTTCGAACCCCGCTCGTGCGGGTGCACTCGACTGCAATCTTAATTGACTAGGATAGTCAGTTTTCCTATCGAAGGTCGGTGGTTTTCTCCGGGCACTCCGGCTTCCTCCACCAATAAAAACTGGCCGCCACGAAATAGCCCAAAAGAGGTGCTTAAAAGTGGCGTTAAAACACCAAAAATCAAAATCAAATCTAATGATACTGATTGATTTATATTTGCTTAACGTCACTTTAGCTCAAAAGGCCTATATTGCGATGAGTTCAATAATTCTTGTGGACTATTTAAAATGAACACGTAAAGTACTTGGTCACCTTAATTAATAAACAAAAAACAAGTGGCTTACCCGATCTAAATTCCGTATAATAATGCAAAAATATGCTCTTTTAGAACTATATTGATATAAATATTAACACCATATAACATGTGCATTATCAAACATAATCGTTATAAAGCTCCTAATGTTGCAGCGTATTTACGAATCCCTGGCTTTCAAATGTTTAGGTCTTGGGTGTTTGTGATAAAGGTAATCCTGAAAAGGCATCGAACGTACGACACTTAAAACAAGTTGCTTTCTTTGAAAAAAGAAAAGCAACACGTGAACCAAAGACCGCTGACTGGTCACAAGAAAATTGTTGCTGAATGTTTGTTTCCCTTTAAATTGAAATAATTGACTGCGATTAGAATAAGATAATGCTGATGTTAAAACCCCTTTATTAAAAAATATGTAATTGTGTGTAGATTCTTGCACAAGTCAGTTGAAAGCAATGTTGGATAGTTGAGAATAGAAAAGTGTATAATATACAGCTACTATTTGAATATACATTCTAAAGCTCGACTATTTTATTTATAACTTGGGAATGTACATCATTTTTTCATAACCCTTTTGCAAATTCCAGTTTCTATAAACCGGATGTTTAATGCAAATTGCACAAACCAAATGAATCCCAATATAAATTTAAGCACTCTGTTTGCTTTATAATCTGAATGCATTTATTTTATCTATAATATCTTCAAATTTTGTATCGTGCATGGATGCCTTCAATTATTCTCAACTCATTAATGAAGCTGTCTGTACTCATGGTAGATGTTGTATAGATAAATTTAAAGTCCAATTTCCAAATGAAGTGAAACCTTGTGGCATGCAACTTATAAGAAGGTTTCGTATATTTTTCTAGAGAGTAATACACAAGCATTCATTGGAACCTCTTATATAGAGACTTATATTGATCTCAGAAAACATCTCAAATTTAAAGGATTTCCTAATTTTACTTAAATCAATCCAAATATTCTACAGGAAAACTTTGTTTTGAAGAATATCTTATTTCAGAAGTTTTATGAATACCTGAACATACTCTCAAAAGAACCAATTTAATTTGTTTTGCATGCACACGTATAAAAATTGCGGTTTTTATCCAACGCAATCATAGGTTTGAACGTTGTTTTCAATTTAGACTTGTTTATATTTTTTCGTTATGGCTTGTATTATATTTTCCTTCGGGTTTATATGATCCGTTCATCCTATTTCGACTCTTCAAAATTCAAGAGTCTATCCTAAATTGAGGTAAATTATATGGCCTTCCAAATACCGTTTTGATTCCTAACATCACTGAAGAGACATTAATTGTCGAAATCCGGATATGGTGCACCTGTTGTTTGCGGTATACCATCTTTTCCGTAAGTTTATTGTTTTCTGTTTGGTATGATATTAAAAATTAAGATTCATTTTGTTACATCTAGTGATCCGTTTATTTGGCAATCGCCATGGCAGTCAGCAGGGTTTAAGAACATCCGTTGTTCGACCTGTTAGTCAAATGCGTTTTGTTAAAATATTCTTTTTCACGTTTTTGGTCTTTTGGAAAATGTTGTTTGTGCTGTATTTAGACCCCTCTACCAAGAAATTTGTTTTGCATGCACAAGTATAAAAATTGCGGTTTTTATCCAACGCAATCATAGGTTTGAACGTTGTTTTCAATTTAGTCTTGTATATATATAAAGACATGTAGATATAAAAAAGATACCATGCAGGATTAAAATGTTGTACGCCAGACGCGAGTTAAGTCTACAAAGAATAAAAAAAGTTAAAAAGGCCAAATAAAGTACTAAGTTAAGTAATCTATTCCTTTGAAAATGTCAAAGTTTATAATAGGACAGTGACTCAAAAAAGAAAACAAAATAGAAACAGCTAGTGGTCATAATACCGTAAGTAATGATGACCGTGCTTGAAAGTCACATGTCAAGCTCTTACTGCCGTGTCCTGAATTTAGATAAGAAAAGCGAAATTCGCATTTACGAGTGAAATTAATATTTATGCATGCACGTGGTATTTTTCCTTTGGTAAAAATCATTAGCATTTCGAAAATGTCAAAGTTTAAAATATAAGCAGAGACGTATAAATCCAGTAGAAAATAATTAACATTATGATAGTAATTAAATTTTGTTATGATCATTGTAAAATATTAATTACGTTTTTGTCAGATGCAAGAATTTAAAATCATTGTGAATTGAAACCATGCAAGTATTTTTTCTTTCACGACCGTTTAAAATTTAGATATTTAGCTAACTTTGGGTAATTATCCCTGCTCATTGGTGCTCATACGTTGCATATGATTTTTAGAAATGTAATGACTGTTCAAACCTGTGAGACATAATGCACGTTTATATGACAATTTTAATTATATTCTATTAAGAATAGATTCAGTCCTTGTTTAAACTTTATAATGAATATTCTCTTAGTCTGGTAGTATCAATTAATGAAATTAGATATTTTTGACAGAAAAATACTTTTGTTTGATTATCTTTCTGCTTTCCGACCTGAGGCGGATTTAGAGAGTTTTCCAGGGGGATTGGGCCCTCATTTTTGTGTGAAAAATTTGTTTGATTATTTAGGGAATCACTGAAGCATGATTTGAGCGCCCCCCCCCCCCCTTATGAAAATTTTTGGATCCGCCATTGCCGACCACTGTGTTTCCGACCTATTTTTAACAGAAATATCGTTTTCTTAATTTTCTTCATGCTTTCCGACATTTTCCCATGCTATGATTGAAATACAAAATATCAAATGATAAACGTTCAGAAATAATCAGTTTATTCTGGGACATTATATATCAATAAACGATTCCCAGGTTTATTGTCTCAATTCACAACAGCACGCAGTATCATGCAAATACTACACACACACCGCGTACAGGGATCGTCTCAAAGCATGAATTATATAATTGTGTTGTCATTATACTTGATATTTGATTATTTTGATAAACATTCACATTATTAAAATCACATATGTTTTGTCAAAAGGCAAATAGGTTCTAACATATAAATGATTTTTTGACTGCAACCTAGTCTTTATTGTTTTACTTTCCAATCTACAAATGAACTTCGATTGTTGAAATATACAATTCACGTGGTAGCCTATCCATAGAGGGACCGTATCGAAGACATAAATAACTTCCTGTATAAATGATTGAACATTTTCGCCACGTTCCAAGAATCTTGATTCCGAGGATATCGAACAGCCCATAGACACTTCCAAAACTCACCAATATATAAGCTAAGGGGGTTCACGCCAAAAAATGTTTATTTCATTTATCGTTATTGTAAATGATTCGGTACTATTAGTTTTATTATATACAAAGACACTGTAAATATCCTCTGAAAAAAAACCAGGAACAGTAAATAATTAAATAAGAGCAAAAAAAAGGAAATGTCAAATATCTTTACGAAAGTTCTAATTTAGTTATAAGGTAGCTAGCTTCCTTACAACAATGACTTCTATAAAAAAAACCTGCATGACTTTCATTTAATACTTTATCGAGAATCTTTATTTTTTTATATTCCACAGATGATAAGTATAATTTTACTTGGAAACCTCCATGGAAGAACTTTCGTATCAAAGTATGTTCCAGCAACGAAGTTTTGGACAACACTTCTGGATTTCTTATTCCATCAAAAATGCAGTTTTTAATTACACATCATGTGTCAACAGTACAGAAAATAATTCGCAATTTGGAGAGTTCAATAGTTGAAAGCATAAACTCGGCAGAAGAACTTCTAGAAATAAAAGTAAAGTCACTGAAAGGTGAAGATATATTTACTGAAATTGAGAGAGCTTTAGCTAGGGAAACTGATGATATTGTTATGAAACCTATTCAAAGATTAGAGTTTACATCAAGCTTAGTAGAGGAGCTTTTCAAAAAGGAATTAAAAGAACAAACCATTGACCTTATGCGAGACGAAACCAATATATTCGTAGTAGGATTTGAGCAAATGAAGTCTTTGATCACTAAACAAATTGACGAAATCAATCGAGTTACTGCCACCAAAGTTGTAAAACTAGGAGATAAGTGGAAAATTGAAGCTGTCAAGTGTTTTGGAATTACTGAAACACTCAGTAAAACTTTTTCTGCTGTTGTCTTTCGTCTGCAAGAAGAAACTTCCAGTGTGTATTTAAAAGGGAGAGATGTCACGATAAACAAAGCAGAAAAAGAAGTACACAAGTTGTTATCAGATTTGTTCAACGAAAAATTACTCTTTGATCCACTGACTCTGAAACTGTTGATCTCTAAAGAGACTTCCGAACTTTTCAATGAAATTCTTCAAAAGGAACATCTTCCAGTAGTCTGGACAGTTGATAGTACCCATCTCTATTTCTTTAGCAAAACAAAAATCGACACAGATACATTAAAAGCAATTGTCTATGAAAACTTTTTGACAGCAGGGTTTTCCAAATCACCCTATCATGGAAAGCAGTTTTGCGATAGCTACGCTTTTATTGAAATAACAAATAAACAAAACAATAAGTTGCTTTTTCTTGAGACAACCAAGTCAGGTGTAAATATTGCTGGAACAAAGAACCTGATATTTAATCTTCTTCATCAAGAGAAGTTATTCTACAACGATGTTGGAAACGCAAAAGAAATACAGGGTATGTGTTTTCTATACGAAAATAAATTCCCAAATTTTTTACATTTTTGTCGTTTATTGACTAAAAGTCTCAAGTTTTGAACTGTGCAAATTGAACTACGATGAAACCTATGCACCAATTCTGGTTCAACGATAATACATGGAGAGAAGAACTTATCAGGGATATAGAATTCGTCTTCAAAAAATTGAAAAACATGATAAATGACACGGTTTTGACAGTGATAGGGGGAGGGGGGGGGGGGGGGAGGGTGACAACATGAAAGGATTAGATTGCAAAAAAAAATCAAAAACATTTAACACTCCAAAGCATAGAAAGTCTGTTGGTGTCTTCTAAAATAAATGTCTATCAAACAAAGATGTGCTATTTAGTCGTCTGCTTTATATTTATAAAGAATTTAAAATGAATGTTCGATTTGAATACCCATAAATCCACATAAAGATTGATCATATTCTATACTAGACCGAAATCATTTAATTTATATAATCACATTTATTTGCAAATTGTTTTGCATTTTGAATAAAAATATAAATAAAACTATTATAAAACAATTCTATGAATATTTTGACAAACAATACCTTTGCATATTAGTAAATAAACTCATCATAGATACCAGGATTGAGCGTTAGACGCGCCTTCCGTTTTCAAAAGACAAATCAGTGACGCTTGAATAAAAAGATTTAGAAAAGGCCGAATAAAGTACGATTCTGTCTGTTCGAAGTTAAAAAGGATTGAGGCCCCAAAATTCCGAAAGTAACATCGGCTGTCTGTATAAGCTTTCTGATATATATTTATATATATATATATTTCTTTAATCTTAGTCGACACATTAAGCTTAGAGGTAGCTAGCATTAAAGATGAGAAAATGAAAATTGATCGTGAAAAGAGAGAACTTGAGGTGAAATTGAATGACGAAACTCAAAAGAGAAAGAATACTAACGATCAATATCAGTTATTAGAAAGAAAATGCAAGGAAGGGGAAGAAAAGCTTAAAAGGTTTGTGATTATCAGTCATATGTTCCTTTGAAAGAATTCGATTCTAAAAACTTATCTTATAAAGACATCTAAATGAGAGACAAAAGATACCAAAGGGGCATTCAAACTCATAAGTAAAAAATAAACTGACAACGCCATGGCAACACGAGATAAAGACCAAAAGACAAATTACAGTATAAAAAAACACAACATAAAAAAACGAAAGACTCAGCAACACAAACCCTACCAAAAACCGAGTGTGATCTCAGGTACTCCAGAAGGGTAAGCAGATCCTCCTCTACATGTAACATCCGTCTAATTCGGTAGGTCACATTCGGGAGAAAAAGAGGACAGGATTGTGGCAACGACGATTGAAACATACCGTCGTCATCACTAGAACAGATATTATGTAACGGTCAATTAACTCGTGATGGCGTCCGGAAAATATTCGAAAGGATGATTTCAGCTTCACCATTTCGAACTCTTGGTTTAATAGCTTCCTTGTGAGCAGTAACTGTCTATAAAAAAAAAATCATAAAACCAAACGCAATATCTGGAATATCGTATAAACTGGGAGATATATACTCCATATACAAGCGCTGCTGGAATGTAGCTGCATAGAAATAAAAAGTTCACAGCTAAGCTTAAATCATCTCTTTTGTCGTAAAATTTTGTTCTCAACCGACCCACATTGTAAATTTCTAGAATTATGATGTAAGATATGAGCAGACTTACATCTGTTATCCTAATGCTAGCAAGTTAAAGGTTTGGTTGGCTTGCTTGCTTTGTTTGTATTAAAGTTTGCTCAAGCATTGTAATTAAGATTGACATCTGCAATGTCAGAAACATATAGAACATGACTTTATGACTATCCATTTACTTGAAAGGAATTCATTCCATAATCCTGTGTTACATCCTTGATAAAGCAAGTCAGTAATCGCTTCTATTGACGATCGAGAAGGTTATTTATCACAGTGTCCAGGTTTTCTATGTAGTGTTTTGTGGACTTGTTTGTCTTTATTAAAGATGTGGTTCGTCGTTTGCCGTGGTTTTGTCGGTCTATTTTCGACTAATGAGTTTTAATTGATTGGTTTTTTTTGGGTATATTTTGTCTCTCTTTTACTAGGCTTGTAACCTTAACTAGTTTCATTATCTTCCAGAAACTAAATTTTGAATTATTATTTAGTTTTCGTGAGGTTTATAATTACTGAGTTGTATACTATAAATTGATTTTAGAATTACCCTTGAGAAAGAGTTGTTACTGAGGGAAAGCAGAGATAAAGAGGCGAATTTTATTACACAATTGGAAGAATTAAAAAAAATGAATGACAAACGGGTACGTATTATTTCTTCAAACAAGGAAGAATTATTTAAAGTTCATTATGTCAATTTTGCTCATTTATCTAAACCTAAAAAAATCAGTCTTGTGTCATATTTGTTGACCTATAACATATTTTTATTTGTTTTCAAATTATATTCTTATAATCATTGATTAAGCAAATTGACTTTTGCTTTACTGCGACTTTTTTCATTGGTTCAAAAAAATCTCAGTGAAATGGGAAAATTTCGTGGTGTTTTTTCATGGCTTTAAAATGACCAAATACTTTTTTGACTCTTGAAGAGACTGTATAAAAAGTCGGAATAAAATTGATTATTATATACCAAATGTCCCATAGTAGGTGAAGAATGCAAGCTCTTCTTTAGAAGTTAAGGAGATCACAAAGTCCCCATTCAGGGCGGAGCGTAGATTATATCTCAGTTGTATTACCACGAATATTAAACATGAAATAATATTTTGAAATATTATCTTTTCACGAGATATGTGTAAAATGTTCCAATAACTTGAAAAAAAGATGTCATGCAATTGCAAATTAAAATTTTAACCTGAAAAATAATATCACTTTTTAATTACAAAGTTTTTTTTTATATATAATACAAATTGATAAGGCCATCATCATTAAATCCTCGGACGAAGTGTACATTTATACTGCTACCTATAATGCCATTGAATTTTATTACTCATTATAGAAAATGGTAAAACAAACTTTATCTGGACCACAAACAGTTGAAAAGATTGATGACATTTTGATCTATCTCAATATATAGAGGGTTGCATATACTTTGTATTAATGTACTTAAACTGCATTAAAATGAAAATATAATTTGTGACAACTTTACATAAAACGTTCCCAAGCGGAAGTTTCTTTGGTGGTCTCCTGTCTTTCGTGTTTACTAGTTCATCGAAATGGACGCCACACTACACTCCGAAACATAAAAATGAAAGAAAATTTAAAAACAACACATAAGACTATCAAAGGGTAGGACGTCCTTATTTTTAATCGGCGAGGCGCAAAGCGGGTTTAAACATATTTTGTGAGATCTTTAATCTCCCACTATACCTCTAGCCAATGCACAATGAACAAACCCCCAACAAAACACATAGTAAAACACAGATCAAAAGAAGTCAGAGTCCGAAGTCAGATTATGTAGCAGAAGAAATCCATGACAAATATACTTTTAGCTAAAAACTCAGGACCATTATATTTGATAAATATCAGAAAGTAGTATGACATTTAAGGAATAACAGAACTGTAGTTGAAGAGTTGCAAATGCATTTTTTACTGGCGACGCGTAGCGGAGACAGTAAAACGGAAATTTGCGAGTCAAATAAAAATTGACGGTGGCAACTCTTCAACTACAGTACTGTTATTCCGATTCTAATGCATTACAAAAAGAAAGAATACGTTAGGGCTTAAAAAATGTATAAGTTTGAAACTTCATGAATGATTTTGGCGCAAGGACGTCATGGCTAAACGTGACGTCATACAAATGAAACTTAAAAGCTGAAGGCTATTACGTTACTTCTACGATTCAAATTTGGATAAAATCACATCAAAACGGCGATTTTGAGGTAGGTGTTGTTTTATTTTCGGTAATATTGCAGTAATCTAACATTTGTTGATCCAAGCAATTCATAATGACGGGTCCTTCCTTAGTTACGACATGTCAACTGTGGATTTGATTGTAACTTTTAGCCAATAAAAAAAGATTGTTACAAAAAAATTGCATTAGAATGAAGTATCAATGCTAGTCTCAATAGTATGTAATAACACGGTGATCTGAAAAAGTCGAGGAGAAATAGAGAAACTCAAAAGCTGAAAAAAATACTCAGTTTAAGGAAATGTTCTGTATAAGATTTTATAAATGTTTGTTTTACTGGTGCAGCTTGCTAAATTTTATTTCGTATCGTTAACAATGATTCATATGTAGCACCAACATTTTTCAAGATTTAAAAATTTTTTATTATCAATTCTTTATTTTACAGAAAAAAAATCCAAGGGCTTCTTCTGATACAAAGAGTAGGCCCATGCAAGGACAAATTTTGCAACAACGCCCAACACAACCATCAGGATGTCAACAGCCGGATTTTCTAAATCCAAGTAAGATGACAGGTTAAATGTAAGGTCATGTTCAAAGTAGATTCACCTTTATTCTCATCACCAATAACAATAAGAAATTATTCCAGGTTATTTGTTACAATCCAATAAGTTACAATGTTTTGTAAGAATTTATACCATTTATTCATAATTACACATCATGTGTCTATCTTTTTAACATAATTTTCTTCTTCGGTGATAGTTTTTGTTTAAGTAGTATGATAAAACTGTCGAGAAAAAATTTAGTTGATTTCAATCTGCCTCATTCAAAAAATAAAATAAAATAGAAAGTCATTTTTTAACTAAGGTTCCAACTCCCTCAAGCAATATTGACCTTATATGAATTTGTCTATGCTTTTTTATGTTTCTTTTGATCATAAAGTTCATAGCGTTTCTAAGTATGTAAACACCACAGGCGTCTGGTTAAGTGCTTAAATTTGTAAAATGTTTTGTTAAACTCATTATTATATATGGTAAAAAGTATCTTGACTGACCAAGAATTTAAACCCAAGTCAAGCTATTATAAAAGAGGACAAAAAGCTACCGTAAGGTCAAAGCTATACAAAAACTGTTTATTTTTGAAAGTTACTTTAAATTTCTATTTTTACCACCAGAACAGTAGTCACAATTTCTGTGCTGATATCGTTATGATAATCGGTTTTCTCTAATTCTGTTAATTTACTTCACGTGAAATTTTATATTATTCGAATCACAAGATTTTCCGTAATTCAATATAATGTGATGTACATTATGAATCTGGTAGTATTTAGAGGTCGAAGAAATGTTTATCATATCAAACCTGTATTGAGAAATATAGAATTTAGAAAATGTTTAGTACGGTCTTTTACTTTATCGATGTGCAGAAACGGTATATATAAACTTAGTTCATAGGGCTTTTAAGTTGACCTCTGATTGACGTTTGCTACGATTTGATTTAAGAATTATGTTGTAGGCAAAGCATAACAAACAAATAAGTAATGTGGGAAATAGCGGTCACCGTTCACATCAAATGACGAGATCTGACATGGTTAATAGCAGAATGCCGTAACTAGTTGACAAATCTTTGCACCATTGGTGACAATGGATGCTCAAGTTTCCCAAAGTTAATCCTAGAGAGAACGACTCATATTCACATCACCCCATGGTCGAACCGGCCAATTATGGTAGACATTAGACAAACAAGTCCATAAAACAATACATAAAATCAAAAGGCTGAGCAACACGAATTACAATAAAAATATGGATTGATCTCCGGTGCCCCGGAATAAAAATTCATATAATGCACTTATAAATAGGTATATCCTCAATCATTGCAAAAGATTGCCTATGAAAGCGTTTCTGCTAATTTTCTTAAGGTAGATTCATGGTATACCGCCATCTTGGATTGTACAATCGCTGTACACAATCAGTCTAGTTCTTTGTTTAAATCTGCAAATTTGGAGACAGATTTGCAATTTATTGGGTAGACTGTTTATTTATATACAGAAAGTTAGTGATTTATTGCATTATCCAAAATGTTAAAACAAATACCAAGTATTTGTATTTTTTAGAATCAATTTTTCAACTTAGCCATTTAAGGGGAGATAACTCCTTTAGTAAAAATTTATACGGGAATGATAGGGAAATTTTAATTCTTTGTACTTGTAGCAGGAAAACAAGTTCGGTGACACCATTTTTTTCTTTTTATTTTCTTAAAGCATATTATAAAACCTATATTCTCATATTTTATTTCAAAATTCTATCTCATAGATTTCTTTTTATGCTTAAAAATGTGCTTTTTTCATGAACAATCTATGCAAATTTTGGCAATTGTGCACGACTTTTAGCTTGAAAAACAGCACGGTGACCCATACTTTTACCTATATTTCTGAAAAAAGCATAGTAAAATCTTCACTTTGGCAAAGTATAAGAAAATTCTATCTGAGGAAATCATGATATACCGATGATCTACCTTAATATTTCGTTAATGAAGGGCAATTGCTAGGTAATGAAAAGTAACTAAAATGCCACAAATTTAACTTATTCGATATTTAAAAATCGGTTTAACATTCACACTTCAAATCTAGTTCATAGGGCTTTGAATATATACAATGATGTAGATATGGTTTTAACTCAATTTTTTAAACGCCCTAGTCTTTAATTGACTTTAAAGATTATTTTTTGAATATTCCCGACTTTTCTTATTATAGATTTTTTGTTCATGTCTCAATCACAATTGCTAAACTCAGGTTTAATGCTAAGATAACCAAAACTTGATATTTCTCTTTCTATTTATTAGCACTTGATCTAAGCCCTATTTTTTTAAACGGAACAAACATCTTGTTTTACCTCAGTTAGGAGTTTGTTGTTCTATCTTCTGTGATACACAAGTATATATGTTGTGTACAAGTTATCATTTTGTACAAATTATAATGTGTACAAAAAATTGTACATATTATAATTTGTATTTTGACTTTTGACTTTGTACAAATTGTAATTTGTACAAAAGTGCTTGTACAAATTACAATTTATACAAAATTTGACCAAAATTCAATTATAACTTGTACAATAATTTATAGTATGGATTTTTTTATAAAAAAGTATTGATACACATTATATATTTTTATTCAATGACCATTTTGTAAAATACAAGAAACAGTTCAGTGTCATTTGTTTGAGCATGTGAGTGAAAAATGGCATAGGGAATTGCGCAACATCTTTTGCTTTTTATATTTAAATTTAGAAATGCTGCTCCCCCTTTGCATTTACATGAAAGAAAACCCCGACCACCAGTTTTTAAAAGCTTTCTAACTGCTTCACATAGCCAAAGTTGAAGCTCAGAAACCTTTGCTTCGAATAAAGATGTGTCTTTAACAGCTCAAATCTGATTTCTCGACAAATATCATGTTAAAATTCATACTGTTTTTCCAATGCGGTACCCAAATTCTCCAGATTCTATAATTACTCATCAGATATTTCGAGGATCAGTTAGGGCACTATCATACTGAGTAATTGGTATAATGACATTATCCTCCACAGCAAGTTTTGAAAATTTCTGTTTCGTTTTCATGGTTAGATATTCGGCTTGGATCTGTTGGCCAGACAGCGCACGGTTCCTGACACGTATGATTGGTGTTTCAACGTCAGTGTCATCCTAATTGTCACTGAGGCCAATTTCTGTAATACTATCAGAATTGTCACTGGGGCCAAGTTCTATTATACTATCAGAATTGTTACTGAGGCCAATTTTTATTATTCTATCAGAATTGCCACTGGGGCCAATTTCTATTGTACTTATAACATTTCCTGTCTCCATCTGGGTATTTGTGTATTTTGTAAATAAGGTTTATTATGTGTTCATTGATTAAAACATTCTATAGTGTGTATCAATGCTTGTTTTTATAACAAAATCCATACTATAAATTATTGTACAAATTATAAGTGAATTAAAATCGAATTTTGTACAAATTAAAATTGGTACAAAGTCAAAGTACAAATTATATTTTGTACAAAATGATAACTTGTTCACAACATATATACCGGTATGCCAGGAGAAGCAAGGTGGAGTGACATTTAATTTTAGCCATTGATAGCGTTTACTCAGATTTCTGTTTCACAGACAATACCATACAGTACATACATTTTAGGAGAACAATTTACTTTCTTACTGAAGGAGTTAACGATCCTTACTCTTGCTGATAAAAGGAGTAAGTTCGGTAAGGGTCATATTTGGCCCCGATTATTAAGTTTAATGTTTCAAGATGATAAATATTTAAAGTGACAAAAAGACATGTGAGAAAGTTTAATAGAACTTTTTTTGTCAAAGTTTTAGTTTTAAAGCGTTGTTTTTTACATCCCAAATAGGTCAAAAATAGAGATTTTTTCGAAATTTGACCAAATCGTTCAGATTTCAACCAAATTAAGGCCTAGGAAACATAGAGCGCAGGCGTCGACAAACTAAATATTCAAGTCAGATATATAAAATGTGATAACAAACATTTTGTTAAAAAAGCTTTTTTGTCGACGCATGCGCTCTATGTTTCCTGTCCAAAACATCATTGGAAATTTACCCGTTTTCATTGAATTTTCGTTGAAAATCAAAATGAGTGCTATTTGTGACATCATGAATAGAACGCAAGTACGTAAATTTCCAACAAAAAGACATATTTTCTATCTAGTCATTGTAATAGCTATGATTCATTGTGATATTGGTCAATAAATCCTAATTTGAAATTGTAGCTAGAAATAGGGGCCGTTTTAGGGTGTTATCGAACCTACTCCGGCGAGTTTCTAGGCACAACCATTTAAGTTTATGTTGCGGCGGTGTAGACATCATTTACCCCTGGTGAGTCTTAAGCCCCCGTCACACTAGACCACGATCGCACCACGCTCACCACGATCTAAAATAAATTCAGATCGTGGTGAGGTCGCGGTATGAGCGGCATGAAAATGTAAATTTTCGTTGTTTTCACGATGCTACTACGTCCTCATTACGCTTCTACAACGATTCCGCTACGATTGTACCACGTTCTCACCACGCTTATTCTGCGACCTCACTACGATTATCACGATCTTACTACGCTCATCACGCTCTCACTACGACCATACCACGATTTATCCGATTACAACACGATCTTACCACACTTCTACTGCGATTATAGCACGCTCTTACCACGATCATACTACAATCATACCACGTTCATACCGCGGGATCCTGTTTAAGGTGGACATCTAATAGTAAAATATTTGCCATCTAATGCACCACACGCATGTGGAACGTTCAATCTCTTCTGAAATTCGTCTGCAATAGCCCTCCAATCATTTGGATCAGTTGGACATGAAATCACCTCATCTTTATATTCTTCAACTTTTGCTAGGCAAACCTCGGGTAAAAATATGCTTATAGTTTTCCGAGCAACTCTAAATTCATACTGCAAGGTCGAATACTTGTCACCAGTAGCTAAATGTCTTAAAGTGATGGGAAGTTTAGAACCAGGCGACAGGGCTCTTCTAAATAGAGTATCTGTCTTCTTGATTCTTGGACCAACTCTGTTAAGAAGTTCATCGAACATCTCTGGTGGCATTCTCAAAAAAATAAAGAAGGAAAGTTCATCCTCGATTCATAACTCGTTCATCAACTGATCATAATGACCAAACTGGAGTCTCCTTTCGGTTAATAACCCAAGACGAACCCAACAGGACCTACGCCGTCTAAAATTTCTTCTTATTCTTCATCTTCGCTCTCTCAATAACAATATCATGACCTGGTCGTTAAGATTTTGTATCTGTGTTAATAATTGTAGAAGCATTACTATATGTACATGGTCTTGTGTTTCCATGGTTCAATTGAAATTGATGTTTCAAACTAAACCTGGAGAATTTTTATATATTTTATGTGACAATGAAAATGAGCATGACTAGAACTCGAAATGGTCGTAGTATGAACGTAGTCAGGTCGTAAGAAGAGCGTGATGAGGACGACATGAGCGTGCTAGAATTGTACTATGGTCTTTAACAACGTGGTATGAACGTGGTAGAAGCGTGGTTGGGTCGCAGTGAGAACGTGATGGTCGTAGTGAGGTCGTAGTAACGTCGCTGTGAGATCTAGACTTCTAGAATCGCCTGGTTCTAAACTTCATAAACTTCTAGAATCGCGCTTTCGCTACGCTCTCGGTACGATGCTACAGCGACCTTTGCGATCTTACCACGACCTTACTGCGCTCTCACTACGCTTCTGCTACGACCTGATTTCGCCACGACCGCACCACGATTGTTTTGAACATGTTCAAAGTTTGTCCACGCTCATCGCGATCATGAAGACCTCACCACGACCGTACCACGACCTTACTGCGATCTTCACGATCGTCAAAATTTGCATTTTTTTCAGAGATCGTAATGCGATCGTGGCCTAGTGTGACGGGGGTATTACGTAGACGAAACGCGCGTCTGAAGTACCAAATTACAAGCCTTGTATCTTTGATGAACTTTTACGACCACACATTATACAAATTTAATTAAATCTCATTGTCAACAAGCCAGTCACTAATTCTTTTCCTAGCTTTGGGGATATTACATCGTGGTCTTTATGTGAACACAATGTGTTGCTATCGTTGGCGTGAAGCAAGAGTTTACATTCGGATTGGATCCTGATGAACAAAGTACAAGAAAAGCTTAGGTTATAAAAAACGTCCTTGAGGGAATTCAGATGAGATTCCAATGACATCTATACTACTAAAGGAAGAGACCGATTTCACTGAGCCGCAACTCCTCTGAAACCATTCAAAGTCGGAAAAATTTGTGATATTACGTATAAATGTAGTGTTTTGTACTTCCTAAATATGTCTTTGAAACAATCTTTTTTCCACAGAAAACGCCAATTTTTGAGACAATATCCAAATTCAGAGACCGTTATCGACCCATGTCTTATACGCTTTCGCGCATGCTCAGTCGATTTTTTTCATTGTGTTACTCATTTTGATCCCTTTCGGTAATGTCAACGGATTTTACGTAGCCCATACGGTTATTGAGTTAAAAGGGTAAAAACCACTTTGCCACTCTTTTCTTAGGGTATTTAATATTTTTATTTTTCAACCTAGATGAATGGGGTCTTTTGCATTATGTTCCTTATTTTCATCTCTTTATAGAAATAGAATTAAATGCATTAACCGTGTCCAAATCCTTACTGTGTCCATCTTATTACTGTTTCCACACTCTTTGTTTCAACACTTGCCATGTTGTATCGCGATTTCGCGGACATCTTCTAGTAAATTAAAAAGCCTAATGTTTTTTCAAAACACTTTTAGTAATAACCCTTTGATGTAAGTGATTCAATGTGGTTAAATATATTGATTAGATAAGCTTCAGAAGCAAGGCTGAATTTGATATTACATTTTTTTCGCCAGTTGTTTATATATAAAGAATGTTAGATATGGTGCTGAGAGTACTTACTTGAATATAAGTTCTCCTTGTCTTTTCTGATATTTTTTTTAAATAGAGATATATCTTTGGCGAGGGTTTGTTAGGGACTGAAAGGGACTCATGATCAAAATAGTAACTTTTTGATGTAAAGCGATTTGCAAAATTAATCGTTTGTTCAAAGATTAGTTGCAACTGTCACTGTTTCAATTATATTATCCTGTTTTTATTTGTAGAACGTAAAAATGTAGTCACACTCGCTCTATATCAGACCAATACGAGGACTACAATTTTGCCCTCCGTTCTCATAGCAGTATTAGCATCCGTCTAATCTAAGTTGTCACCATAGGATAGAACATTACTCGAAAATGTCAGTTTTCCGAAATTTTTCTGCCCCGCCGTAGCAACGGGCGCGTTAAGTGTTATCCTTGACTATCCGTCTTTCTGTCCGTCTGTTCTTCCGTCCACCCTTCCGTCCGTATTTGCGTCCGTCTTTCATTCTGTATTTCCGCACTCTAACTGAATTTTGCCTCATGCCAATTTTATTAAACTAATACACAATGTTAAGAACCAAAACTTGCAGACAGAGTTCGAATTTGGTCAGCGAATCACTCACCGTTCTAGAGTTATGCCTCTTTATATTTTTGAAAATTACAATATTTTTCATTTCCGCACTCTTATTGAGTTCGCATCAACTTAATTTTTGAGAAACTCATACACAAAGCTAAAAGCCCACAACACGGAGAGACAGAGTTTGAATTTTAGCAGTTAGTCATTTACTGTTCTAGAGTAATGTGTCTTTTTAACTTGGAAAATTGCATATTATTAGAAGTCATAGACCAATTTTGTATTACTGTATTTATAAAACTGATTCAAAAACTGTTGTCATTTATCAAACTTCAGCAGAAGACGAAGGAAAAGTGAAAGAAAACGTCAGTGACATCTTTTATCGCCATGCAGTATATGAAGAAAATATACAGCTGACAAGATCAGAGTTGAGATTTTTACAAGAACAGTACCAAACAGAAATTAGAAGTCTTCAACAACAGTGTGCAAAAGATCATGTGGCACTTAACATTGATAATATCCTTGTTTTTATTCGGGGAAATTCAAATGGAGTCAAAGATGCAAAGAAGAAGATTGATGGTATAGTCAGATCTATTTATAAAAAGAAATATACCTTGAAAAAAGCTGGCATTGTGCGACATATGACAAGTAACCAGGGACAAACCATAATCAGTCAAGTGGAGAAAAGGAACAAAGTTGTTGTACAATTACAGACTGGTGAGGATAGTGATGATGAGGAGAATACAGGTCAAGCCCAGCCAATCTCACCAAGAATAACATACAAAGAGACAGCTAGGTGTACCATACCTTCAGGACAAACAATAATTACTGTTGTGGGGGATATTACAGAACTTGATGTTGATGTTATTGTTAATGCTGCCAATAAAGAACTGCAACATGTGGGAGGACTGGCTAAAGTTATAGTTGACAAAGGTAATACTTTTAAAAACCGTAGCAGAGATCTGCAATACAGTATATAACTTTCAATTACTCTTTGAGTTTACCTTCCCGTTTATCTTATTTGTTCAAAACTATGAATTCGTAGACCGTCCGTCGTTTATTAAAAAAAATAAGAAGATGTGATATGAATGCTCATAAGACGACTATCCACCAAATGGCGTAAATGTTAATAACTATATGTCACCGAACAGACTTTAACAATGAGCAAAAGCCATAGCCAATAACATAAAGTCAGCTATAAATGTTCTAAATGACTGAATGTATAACAATTCAAACGAGAAAACCAATGGACTGATTTATGTATAAAATGATAAACACGAAAAAAATAATGATACACAGCGACCAACGACAACCACTGAATTACAGGCCCTTTACCGCTTCGAATAAAAACTTTGTATGATTTATGTTTGTTTTGTATATTCCTGTTTATCAATAGATATGGTCTTTATTACAAGAAGCAGAGCATTAATGTAAAAGGGAGTTATTTGTCTCATATCTTAAAAACCCATGTACTGAATCTTTCTATCTATGTGTACCAAAATTGTCAAACGATTCCTAACAGGATTTATGCCTTAAAATTAATTTGACTGTAAAATTAGATTTTTTTCCCTTTAACTAGGAATTCATAACAAATAAAAGGATAATGTATAGAGCGAAATTGACAAGCAATGCATGAGATATACAAATCCGATATTGAAACCCTCTTTAAATGACGATTTGGAGCTAGGATGTATTTAGCTGTTCAGCCTTTCGTCTATCATAGGTTCATTTTGTAAATGAACTTTCAAAATTCCAAAAATGAGAGATAAAACAAATATGTAAAAATGTTATTTTTAATTAAACTATCAACTATCTCCTTCAATAGAATGATAATGATGATGAATGGATGGCTGAATAACGTTCAGCGCTAAGTAAAATGTATATTCAGGATGCGAAAATATTGAAAACAACACTTAATTAATTTCATGCGTCCGTAGCGCTTTTTCTGGACTTAATTTTCAAGGCTTAAATGTAAAAGTGATCTGAATATGAACCCTTTGTACATGACCCGAGACGCTGAGTCACGTGTTCAGAGGAGAATTTGAAGTCTTTGGTTTAACCAAGCAGAGGTTCGAATTCAAGACCTCACGTTCTGGAGACTAGCACGCTACCACACAACCAGCGAGGTGATTATTGCTTAAATAAAGATATTGTATTTACTACTGAAAGCCTTTTTTTTCTGGTAATATCAAGAGAAAACCTGTTGACCGATGGTGTAAAATTACTGTTTACTTGTATTATAATTTTAAAATTGACTAATTTTGAAACACAGAATTAAACTTATTATAGAGTTTTTAAGAGTAACAAGACGGTCGCAGTAAGATTACGAACTGCGTTCTCTTCTCGAACACCTTTGTTTACCACCATCGTTTTGTTTCAAAAGCGGTTCATGTTGCTTTCTTTGACTTTCATTTTTAGTAGTGTATTTCGTGGTTTTAATATTTTGTTAAATATATGTGCTTGTTCAAATAGTTACTGCCATGTCTATTTTTTATCCTTAAAAACTTTTTGTATTTCATACATCCACTTTAGCTTAAATTTTACGGCAAGGTAATGTGTACAAACCAATGATGATGTTTCAGGACTAGAAATGTGATATTGGCCAAACACTTTTGTATAATTATTCAACTGGTATGATTGATCATCAACATAATTGAAATTTAGTATCACAGCGTCGTCACTCGAGAAGCAGGATATGCTGATCCATTCGAGGCACTTGAGCTTTGCGTTGCCAGATTTTATTCTCGCCTTGACGGACTCAAAAAGTGTGACTAATGTATGATGTTTCCATCGGCGGCGTCAACAATTTGTTTAAGTTTGTGATTAGATCAGTTTAAGGAGAACCACTTATGGTTAATCAATTATATTTGGTATGCAGTTTTATAGGCATTGGCGCATCTCATTTCGATGAAGATAATTAAGCCCTTTCCCCTCATTCATGTATATTAACTTTTGCATAGTTTATAAATAAAGGTTTGTTATCAAGTCAGTTTAAGGAGAACCAATTATATTTAGTATGCAGTTGTATAAGCATTAGCACATCTTATTTAAATGGAGATTATTTGGCCCCGCCCTCTCTGTACTATCAGGCATGATTTATTCACTTTGAATATTTTGCATATTTTACATTTAAAAGTTTATATGCAGACAAGATTATATCTGTGTCACATTTATTATTTTCTATGTAGTGCTTTGGACTGTAGTTTGCCTTTTTATCATTTTCTAAAGGCCTTCCCTTTTTTTTTAGCATTTTCTGTTGACTTCCAACTATCCAGCGCTACTGATAAGGAAAACAAAAACCTCGTCTTGGTATTATCAGTCTGATATCTTTTTAGCTCATCAAAGGGTTGTGTGAGCTATTGCCATCATTTGGCGTCCGTCGTTGTCGTTTGTCGTCGTCGTAAACTTTTTCAAAATCGTCTCCTCTAAAGCTACTGAATCAATGTCAGCCAAACTTTAGATGAATGATCCTTGTGGTATCTAGTATAAAGTCTTCTTTGTCAGTCAACAAATATGGCCGCTATGCCTAAATAAAGAACATAAGGGTAAAATCCATTAATTGTCTTATATGTTGAAAACTATAATAGATAGATAGAGACAATTTGAATGCGGCGTAAATTCTCAGAATGTCAATTACTAGTCTACCTAATTTCAGTTTACACCAAAATTATCAGATGATTCCTTCAGGAGTTTTTATCCTTAAATGACGATTTTTGGCTAATTTTTATGCTTTTGCATATTTACCCAAAATATATATTAGAAAGGTAAAATTGATTTGGCAATAATGATCAGCAAAATTTCGCCTTTTATCTCGAAAACTTCAGTATGTAAGTAGAAAAGGTGAACAGCAAACATGATCAGATATACAAGATTTACAAACATGTCAAAATTACTGAAAATATCAGATGATTCCTTACAGATGTTATTGGCCCTAAAAGACGATTTTCTTTTTGTTTTTTTTAAATTTTAAACATATCTTATTGATTATCACATTTAACATCAACTCTAAGTTGCCCAGGAAAGCAACTCAGGGAGCCCCGCATTTTTACAGTCTCATTTGTCGGGGAAAATGCAAATGAGGAAAAAAACTCCAATTATAAATAATTAACATCCATCTTTATAATTATCATCTATCTATGTAATTATCATCTATCTATATATTTATACACCACATATAATCATTTGAATAAAGTATTCATTCTATCTGTATATTTTTTCTTACAAGAGCTACCTGTATATATTAAGCAGTTTCGATTTATAGCACTTCAATCCGTTCTTTTGTTACGTTAATTTCTATTACATTCTGATGACGATTTTTAACTTAATCCTTTTCGAGTACTTGCCTCTTATCTTCAAAAAAATAATAGATGAAAAGAAACTGTTAACAGAAACACAAATTATCTTAAAACAAGATCTATAAGAATGTCATAATGACAGAAACAATTGGCTGACCCAATACAATAGTTTTACTAACTTTTAAGTGTTTGCCAATCATTTCAACTTTTGATAGGTGAGCAGTTCAGACTCTTAAATGCCTCTTGTTATAATCACAACTGTTCCGTTTTCGATATTAGTACTTTGCAATACGAATTGGGATTTTCTTAGCACGACAAAGAGTGCAACTTCTTGTAAATTTTGAGGAAAGGTTAAGGGAAAAATTAACAGCTACACGTGTGCAATGGCGGAAAACCAGCGTTTTGCCTCTATTGTACATGCATTGATGAATTTCGTGCGGTGTTCTTATATTGTACATTACGCCAACACACTACTTATTCATACACCCTGGCTTTAAAATGTTAAGTTAAATTCAAAAAAATATTCGGTCGGACGATAATTTAAAGTGTTATTTTCATTAAATATATCTGAATTGATATTTGAAATCAAGAAGGCAATCACCTTACAAATTGTGTCTGCTTTGACGGAAAGAATCATGTTATTTTTTTTCCCTAACCATTCGCATCTTTTGTTCGCCATCTGACCTAGGTCGTTAATCTTTTTTTTAAGACGTAAGAAAAATGGAAAATAAACCACCTGTTCTGTGCACTCTTATTTGAATTAAATGTTTTTTTACTCCACAAAACTATGCAAAATGGAAACTGCTAATTGCTATAAATGGAAATAGATTTAATTAAACAAAATGAATAGTTTTCGTCATTGCTTCAGTAGCTACAAATAACATGTGTGTTTCATTCCGGTCTAACTAACTTTGAACCTGTACCTTGCAGATATTTATCTTTATTTGGAAAAAATATTAGGAGCAGTTGAAACTTTCATATGAGTTTTGACCTTTTTTCACGCTTTTGAACTTATTATTGACTTTTCAAAAATTCTTGAATGGCTTTTTTCACAATTGTTTTTTTTTCTCACTTTATATTGGCATTCCTTGTAAGTATTTAACTGATATTCTATATATAATTGAACATTGACTGCCTCCAGATGACATCCGAGCTTACATGTAATTTAATATATTTTTTACCTTATTACATATATTGGCCTTTCAATAATTTATGATTACTCTTTCGTTACCACCTAATAAGTAGTATTGCGATCATAATAAGTATATTGATATGTATGTGCCGGTCCCCGAGTCAGGAGCCTGTTATTCAGTGGTTGTCGTTTTTTGTATAACATATTTGGTTTTCATTCATAAATCAGGCCGTTAATTTTCTCGTTTGAATTGTTTTACATTTGTCATTTCGGGGCCTTTTATAGCTTACTATGCAGTATTATACGACATCTTCTTATTTTCACATAAAAGTGTTCGATGCACAGTTACTGCTTTTTTTTACTTTTTTTTTCCGGATGATTAGTTTTGGCGCCGTTTTTTACACTAAACTCAATATATCCTTATTGTGTCTTATTCAGTAACATCAAAGGGTGAATGTCATTCAAACCAGCTGGGTTAGAATTGGCTAAGTTATTTACTGAAAAAAGGAAAACAACAAGTTTTAAATTTAATGCGTCCGAAGCGCTTTTCTGGATTTACCAGGAACGCTCAAAGCCGAATATTTGAAAGCCAAGGATGTATTAAACAGAAACAGTTTAAGAGCTGTAGAATAAAAAATGATCTAAAATAATAGCGAAATACTTTTAAGGACAACTTTGCCTGAGGAAGTTGAAACCTTAGTTTCTTTATAATTTAAAAATTTATAAAAGGGCAAATTTAGAATGTTTCGTTATTAATCATATCAGTACCGAAGAACTGAATACTGAGCTGATGATACACTCGGGGACTGATAGTCTACCAGCAGAGGTATCGATCCAGTGCTGTAAAAAATGAAAACAACAAGTTATAGATTTAATGCGTCCGAAGCGCTTTTCTGGATATACCTTGAAAGGGGTTCCAAAGCTATTTCGTTTTTCTGAGCTTAATGTTACCAGATAGTATATATTGAAACCACTAGAAAGAGTTACTTATCTGAACTCTGTTCATTTCAAAACAACTTTGACCTGAACGATCCATTTATGGTGAAAGACGCTAAGAGTGATTGTCCGATGAGAACTTGAGAATCCTTGTAGTCTTTAGTGTTTCATTTCACTGACAAATCTTTTTTCACTTTCTGCAAGTTTCACACAATAACTGCAGGTTAAACAGAAATTAAAAAAAAATATGTTTAGGAATTATAATTGACATATGAACAAAAACATTTTGAATATCTAAAATGTGAATTCATTCAATAATATTTTCAGGTGGCAAAAGCATACAGAAAGAATGTGATGATTATGTTCGTTCAAAAAGCAGAGCACGGAAATTGTATGAAGGAGAAATTTTCTGTAGTTCTCCTGGTAACCTCAACTGTAAAATGATTGCACATGCAGTTGGACCTGTCTGGCAGAATGGTCGCCAATCAGAAGATGAATATTTAAGTGAATGTATACAGGCATCTTTAGAGAAAACAGAAGATAAGAAATATAGAAGTATAGCAATTCCAGCTTTATGTACTGGTGTGTTTGGCTATCCACCAAATAAAGCTACCAAAGTTATTCTAGAAGCTATCCGCGATTACTTGAGAGAGAATGGAGCTACATCACCAGTCCGCCAGATCTACTTATGTGATGTCAAAGAAGATATTGTTGACCATTTTGTATCTGCTCTTGAGAGATATTTTGATAAAGCTAACATTAAAAAGCAAGTAGGTAATCCTGGTTTTGTTAGAAGACCTCCACTTAGATTTTTGCCTGGTGAGTTATTTAAAAGTTATGTCTTTGAAGTCACCTGGTCCTAATGGCCAGTGTGAGCTATTGCTATTACTTCGCGTTCATCGTCCGACATCCGACTCCTCATAGGAGTTATTGTTTTTAAATGGAGATTTTGTACTTTATGTTTGCGTTTAAGGCTATATTATCATCTTAAAAACAAAATGTAGTTAGAGTGAAATATTAAAATTATCAACAATAAAAGATTTACAAATAGAGGTAAACCCGTAACAGTGCCCACGGTGGACAACCGCAATATGGATCTTGTTAATAATACTGAATCATGGACCTTTAACTTGTTTGTCATCGGCTATCGATAACAATGATTTTACGCTCACACAGTCTGTCAGAGGCCTTCCAGCGGGGATTTATATAATCACTTGTTCCACATTTCGATACATAAGATGAAACTTTCTTTCTTTTCACAAAACTTTAAAGGAATTTGTTTTTAATATTATTTATATCAGCACACCAAACAGTTTCATTTTAAAGAATAATAAATGTTCATAGCTAATATTATTAAATAATCGAAAGATACATTTACACATTTTGATTTTCATTGTAAAAAACTTAATGTTGATGGGGTTATTTTACAAAATATCTTACGAGAAAAAAATACTCCCACGTTGTGATCATTTACGAGTAATCTACCATTTATTCAAACTATAATATTTGTTTGTAAAAAGAGCTCCGGACAATGCAAAAAATTGTCAATCAGACAACCCCCACCAGGGACCAACAGATGTAAAAGTTAGTAACTATAGGTCAACGTTAGGTTCGACCTTCAACAATAAGCAAAACCAACACCGCATAGCAAGCTACAAAAGGCCTCGACATGATATACAATGGAAAAATAACGGCCTCATTTCTGTACAAAACAATAAACCCAAAATAAATAAATATGATATACAGCAATGTTCATTTGGGATTAAAAGTTGAGTGGATGAAGAAGAAAGCGAGAGAAAAAATACGGAACCCGCATGGAAACGGGAAAATAATCCGAACTATCGCTTTGGTCAACACTTGTTTAAATATTGAAATTAATGACCTGGTGAATTTAAGTCCTTATCTTTGTCTAAGATGTAGGTTTGAAAATACAAAATCAAGGTTTCTTCTGACATTTTTGTAAAGCAAGTCTTGGTTTTAAATTATTGGCGAGTAATCTTAAGATGTCAATAAAAAACAATCACTCCAAAAATGACAGGCAACTCCATATACAAAAGAAAAAAATAATATACGAACTGCAGTGCTCAATCCAGTACGCAAAAAACTGATTGTTGAGCAAATGGAACCCTACATGTACGTAAACCGTGGATAAACTCCTGTGCTTCGGAAGGAAAGCAGTTTCTTTTCTACTTGTGACACCGTTCGCGTTACTCCTGTTTCAATCCGTTTGTGAGTGTTTACCGGTGATAGTGCATCATCATAATTATAGTAGCAGAAATCGAAAATAATCCTCAGACTTATTAGATTGTCTTACAATGACGTGTATCCCTATACAGATATGTACATATTTTCATTTCGCTCTTAAAAAGGACGAAGTTGATATATAAGCCGCCGTCAATTAATGTGTGTGTGTCGATTTTTGTTTTGAATAAATTGTTTTGATTCCAAAAACAATTGGAAAGGAAAATAAAATACTTTGTTTCAGAAAAAAGAAGAAAAAATCCTAATTGATGTACATTTAAAGTTGCGACACTGAGATTAAAATATATTGTTCATGTATGTGCATGAGAAAAAAAAAACAATGCCCTCAACCAATGAAATAAACTCGACACACACTCAGAAAAGGAGGAATAGTCGGTGTATTATCATGAATTCATGAATACGATTCTGCTGCCAAGGTTTTTTTTTTGCAAGTTTAGTAGTTAGCAGAAAAGTTCCAGTTTGCTAGATAATATTTTTCGATACCTAGTCCGATTGCCAAGTCGGTCAAATGTTCGTCGGCAATGCTATAATTCGATTTTTATGCCCCCGCCGTAGCGGAGGGGGCATTAAGTTTTACCCTTGTCCGTCTGTACGTACGTACGTACGTACGTCCCAAAATTGGTTTCCGTTCTCTACTTGAGTTTGCCTCAACCAAATATTATGAAATTTATACACAATGCTTATTACCACAAAACACAGATCAAGTTTGAATTTTGGTGGCGTCACTTTAACTCTTCTAGAGTTATGCCCTTTATAAATGGAAAAATTGCAAAATTTTTAGTTTCCGTTCTCTAACTTAAGTTTGCCTCAACCAAATGTTATGAAACTTTCACACAATGCTTATTACTACAAAACACAGATCAAGTTTGAATTTTGGGGGCGTCACTTTAACCGTTCTAGAGTTATGCTCCTTTATAAATGGAAAAATTGCAAAATGTTTAGTTTCCGTTCTCTAACTTAAGTTTGCCTTAACCAAATATTATGAAACTTATACACAATGCTTATTATCACAAAATACAGATCAAGTTTGAATTTTGGTAGCGTCACTTTAACCGTTTTAGAGTTATGTCCCTTTATAAATGGAAAAATTACAAATTTTTTAGTTTCCGTTCTCTAACTTGAGTTTGCCTCAACCAAATGTTATGAAACTTATACACAATGCTTATTACCACAAAACACAGATCAAGTTTGAATTTTGGTGGCGTCACTTTAACCGTTCTAGAGTTATTTTTTAATATTTTTAATCGCTTAAAAGGGTCATTATTGTTGCTAGCTTTTAAATCATGAGTGAAACATTTAACACGAAAATTGTAGCTAACACCCCTCAGCCCAAATGAAGTCTTCCAATTTGCATGCTCAGATTTAAAAACATAATATTCCCGACTTCAGCATTCGAATTTTTTTCGTCTTATCAAAATAGTAAAGAACAAATAATGAAATTATATTCCCATAAACTTGTTTACACAATTACAGAGAAAATTAGTTTTTACAAAAGAACAATATTAGTGCAATTTTCAGTGCATCTGATAACACTATCGACAATAGCTTTTCCATAATCTCTGGGGGCGTGCAGCATTTGGTTTAAGTATTTTGGACAATTATTCTTTATTGTTTTTTTACCATTGCAATGACAGAAGTAGGTAAAATACCACAAAATCTATTCTGTGCCAAAAGAATAGATTTGTGAGTGTATGATACGGAAATTTTACGAAATCACTGATAAGTTCAGGATACTCCCATTTACAAATCTGAATGCAAGAACGAAAACAAACAATTAAATTGGCGGGAACATTAGTATGCATACCAATAGAGGGTAGTGTACCCGATCTGTTTAACATGTTTGAATATATACATAATCATCAGATGTATTTAGTTGTAATTATTTCTGTTTTGAAAAAAAATCTGAGTAGATCGACAATGTACTCGAGATTAAAAAAATAGATTAACTATGGCCGGACTGTTTCATTTTGAAATTCTTAAAGTTTGTAACAAAACGAACATTTTCGATAATTGTGAATATTTAAATGATTGCGAACGACCCAGCATAGAATGTTCAATCACTAAAAAAGGATGCTTTAAACTCAGTTCTGTGCAGTATGTAAACATAGAAAAAACATCGGCACCGTCAACCTTAAGGTTAAGTCAGAAGCTTTTTCAACATCAATAACTTCGTTAAACCTTCATGGAATATTAGGACAAATGGTCATAAGCCTTGTGATGATCAAACGACAACCATAACCCCTAAAACTAACCCTAACCGCTAATCCTTACCGCTAACCCTAACCCTAAAACCCTAACTCTAACTCTAACCCTAACCCATAACCCACAATCCATAATCCTAACCCTAACCTTAACCCTAACTCCTTACCCTAACCCAAAGAGCAAAGTTTGGAAAAAAATGCATTTTTTGTCTAATATTTTACTAATAATTGGAACTTCTTCAGTTCACATTTAGATACAGTCTAAGATTAAAGTTTTTCAATATAACTTTGTCAAAAAAATCTTATGAACATAGTTTTTCTGTCCGTACCAAACTATTTGATAATCGTAACTCAAGAGACCGTTTCCCCAAAAGCTTTCAGACATAGTAGAATTTATTAGTCATCATACTCTCTTGACTACATACTCTACTGTCATTTAAATTTCTGCATTTATGGAAGAGTTCTTTGGCTTGTACCATGTTTGCCAAATAACCCATAAAGCCAACGAAAGAACAGATTGGCCTGTTGTTTTAGCCTATTTGACACTGAGTATGTGGGATTGATAAAAATAATCAGAGGGAATATCTTTAAAATTATTGTGTTTGGATATCCAAGAATGAGGCAAATGTAGAGCAAAACCTTAAACACAATAATAATATTTTTCATTTATAAATTTACACTGTACCAAGGAGATTGACAATTTTCAAAGTTGAAAAACTGTATAGAGAATTAACTCAGACATTAAATACTTGTGCCGTTGAATTATTTTTGAGAAAGAATATTAATATCAATGGAAAAATGGCGATATTATCCCTCAGAGCGATCACGCTCTTTAATTATTTATCTTTGTGTAGACATTTTATTTTCCAGAGATAACTTTTTTAATAAAAGAACGTTGGCTTTGAAAAAGATTTGTGATAAGTTGGTCTATGATTTTAACAAGAATTATCATTACAACGGAAGCAAACGAATGATATAAGATTCCTAAAATCCTGATCAATTAATCTTCAGTAAGAGCAAAACACAATTTATTTATTTGTGAATCCTATATGTTATAAGACGTTTGTTAACAGTTCATTTATATCTATCTATAGATCAAGGAGTATCAGGTGGATGGCAGCAGAGAGCTTTGGCGGACAATAGACAGGGTAGTGTTGACATTGGAAATTTGACATTGAAAGTTTACCAAGGGGACCTAACTGAGGCTAGTGTTGAAGTGATAGTTAATGGTACTAACAGAGAACTAGACTTGACAAGAGGTGAATCTTAATTCTTGAATAAGTATTTGAATAAACTCAAATTTTGTTGTTTTCATATTTTCTACTTCTCAAAAAAGTTGATGATGATAAAAGTACCTATTGTTGTTCATTAGTCAAAATTCTTGCAATTTAACAATTATGATTTTTGTGATGCTTAATTGGCTTATATATTATTTACTGCCAAATTTGTGAATTGATTGAGTTTTGAACTATATTACAAATAAACAGATAATTTAATCATAACACGAACATCTATTTCTGTGTATACGTTAGTCAGAGATTGCACTGACGATTTACAGCCTTTTTAGCTCACCGGGGCCCGAAGGGCCCCATGTGAGCTTATGCCATCACTTGGCGTCCGTCGTCGTCCGTCGTCTGTCGTCGTCGTCTGTCGTCGTAAACTATTTCAAAAATCTTCTCCTCTGAAACTACTGGGCCAAATACCTTCAAACTTTAACTAAATGTTCCTTAGGGTATCTAGTTTATGAATTGTATCCGAAGTTTTGATCCATCGACAAACATGGCCGCCATGGCTAAAAATAGAACATAGGGGTCAAATGCAGTTTTTTGCTTATATCTCCAAAACTAAAGCTTTTAGAGCAAATCTGACATGGGGTAAAATTGTTCTATTGGTCAAGATCTATCAGCCCTGAAATTTTCAGGCAAATCGAACAACCCATTGCTGGGTTGCTGCCACTAAATTGGTAGTTTTGAGGAAATTTTGCAGTTTTTTGTTATTATCTTGAATATTATTATAGATAGATATAAACTGTAAACAGCAATAATGTTAAGCAAAGTAAGATCTACAGAAAAATTAAATGACCAAATTTGTCAATTGACCCCTTAAGGAGTTATTGCCCTTTAAAGACAATTTTACGCAATGTGTTCATCAAGTTTGCTAACATTTAAAAATCTTCTCTTCTGAAACTATTGTGCCTAATACTTCTTAACTTTGAATGAATGTTCCTTTAGGAATCTAATTTATGAATTGTATCCGAAATTTTGATCCATCAACAAACATGGCCACCATGGCTAAAAATAGAACATAGGGGTGAAATGCAGTTTTTGGCTTATATCTCAGAAACTAAAGCATTTAGAGCAAATATGACAGGGGTAAAAATGTTCAAAAGGTCAAGATTTATCAGCCCTGAAATTTTCAGACACACCAAACAATCCATTGTTGGGTTGCTGCCACTAAATTGATTGTTTTAAGGAAATTTTGCAGATTTTGGTTATTATCTTGAATATTATTGAAGATAAAGATAAACTGTAAACAGCAAAAATGTTCAGCAAAGTAAGATCTACAAAAAAGTTTATATAACCAAAATTGTCAATTGACCCCTTAAGGAGTTATTGCCCTTTAAGGAAAATTTCACACAAGTTGTTTTATGTTTTTTAACTTTAAAAATCTTCTCAAATGAATCTAGTATAAATTTTGTATTTCATTTCCTTGTACGTCAAGAAACATAGACACTATGGCTAAAATGGAACATATGGGTAAAAAGCAAAATTAATCATTGATGAAAGATTTAAGCAAAACAAAATAACAGGTGAGCGATTCAGGGTCTTGAGAGCCTCTTGTTTGGACTTGCTGGGACGTGGAATATTAGAGAACAGTCCTTAGAGAAAACAATTGCTGACCCAGAGTTGAGTCTGCAAGAATCGAAATCGTAAAAAATAATGTTTCAAGAAGGTAAAAAATACAACCTTCCAAGCAAATCTTTAAAAAAGCCTGTCAGACGTCAAAGCAATTTGAGACTAAATATACTAATGTACCAAAAGAAACCAGGAAAATACTAAGAATAAGATTAAGTTTTAGTGCCCGCATAAAATAGTAAATAATATTTATGTTTCTTTCTTAAAAGGCTATTCTAATATCTTGCAGGTGGTGTGTCTCAAGCTATTCTCAAAAAAGGAGGAAGAGAACTATCACAGCTGTTGTCAGTACCAGCAGCTAGTAAGTTATTGGTCTTTGATATCTGACCCTTTGTTGATTGTCAGTACCAGCATCTCGTAAGTTATTGGTCTTTGATATCTGATCCTTTCTTGATTTTTTCAGTACCAGCAGCTAGTAAGTTATTGATCTTTGATATGTGACCCTTTGTTTATTGTCAGTACCAGCAGCTAGTAAGTTATTGATCTTTGATATGTGACCCTTTGTTTATTGTCAGTACCAGCAGCTAGTAAGTTATTGATCTTTGATATGTGACCCTTTGTTTATTGTCAGTACCAGCAGCTAGTAAGTTATTGATCTTTGATATGTGACCCTTTGTTTATTGTCAGTACCAGCAGCTAGTAAGTTATTGATCTTTGATATCTGACCCTTTGGTTATGTGTGGTCTGAACTTAACACTCGTTAAATTTCAGTTGCCACTTACAGAATTTACTGCCGATTCCAATGCAATGAAAAATTATACATCCTAGTCGTTGTTTGTCCAGACTGGTTCAAGATTGCATATCAAGTCTATTTGGCTGAGTCTGGACCAATCTTACTGCTTTCACTTTCTGAACATCTTTTGTCAAATCACCTAAGCATATATGCTAATTATTTTTTAACAGTTGCCCAGGGAATAAACATTGAACAGGAAATATCCGGGTGATTTAGAAGCAAAATCATTATAATCAGAAGTCCATTACTAGGAATTGTAATAATGGACTTCTGGTGTAATTACCTATATTTTCAATAATTTAGCATTGTATTCCTTTATATAGAGAAAGAAATGAAGAGGGAAGGTGTTGCCACGACAACAGCAGGAAGTAATTTCAGTTGTGACTTTATTATACATATCAATATGGAGGACAGTCATATGGACTTAAAGGCTAAATTTGAAACTGTCTTGGAAAAAGTTGATGAATTGAACAAGACATCAGTAGCATTGCCAGCTTTAGGTACAGTATCAACCAGGAGTTAATAGTAGATTTCATGAAACTTGATATTCATTTAAAATTTGTTAAAAAGGGAAATTTCATTAGATAACGCAAACAAAAGAAAAATAACCAATAGAGACTTCTGGAGAAGTGACTGAACTGCATCAAGCATTAAGTCCAGTAGTAAGGCATTTGAGTTATCCCTCCTTTAGCATCATTTGTATCATGGTACATTAAAAACAAAAACAACTCAAATATAATATGTACATATATAACATAAAAGTTATTGTTCCCAATTGGAAACTGTTAAATTGTAATCTATACTATAACAGATGTGTAAACTTTAATAATGTCTAATTCATTCACTTACTCTGTGCAGTTTAGAACTTCTTGAAATTAGATAATGTATTTGTTTCCAAAGCAATATAATGATGTCATGTTAAAAACTTATTGTTTTGCTTTACCTAAGATATTAAGGTAGTTTACCATGAATTTGTGGTCACATATTCTTTTAATGGCCCCGCCGACTTAGATAGGGGCCATATAGTGTTACCCTTATCCGTCATTCCGTCATTCCGCCATTCTGCTATTCCGTCATTCCGGCTTTCCACAACGAACAGTTAGGCGGACTTTTTTTCTAAACGCCCTCACATATTGAGCTGATTTTTAGTTGTGAGACTAGTATGATGAGTTACAGATCGAGTTTACGTTTGGTTCTGCTCCGCTGATTTTGCCGAAATTACAGGCTTTGGACTTTGAAAATTTCATGAAAATAACAGTTGTTCGGACTTTTTTTCTAAATGCCTTCACATATTGAGCTGATTTTTTAGTATGTGAGTCTAACATGATGAGTTACAGATTAAGGTTATGTTTGGTTCCGCTCCACTGATTTTTGACGAAATTACGGGCTTTGAACATTGAAATTTCGTGAAATAACAGTTAAACGGACTATTTTTTTTAAATGCCTTCACATATTGAGCTGATTTTTATTATATGAGTCTACTATGATGAGTTACAGATCGATTTTATGTTTCGTTTTGCTCCGCTGATTGTTGCCGAAATTACGGGCTTTGGACTCTGAAAATTTCCTCTCCTTAAAGCATTTTTGCGAGTGGGGCCATTCGTGTCGTTCCGTCACATCTAGTTTTATTAGTTGTTATTGCCTTTGAACTAGCTGTCAGCAACTACGAGTACATGTACTCTCAGATCTGTACTTTTTGTCTTGATAGTTTTAGGGGTGTATAAATACCCTTCCACGTCCTGTCTGTGCTTTTGTTATATATGTGTTTGTTTTGTATCGATCGGATGAGTTAAGCCCTTTTCAACTGATTTTTATAGTTTGTTCTTATGTTGAACTGTTACACCTCTGTCCCAAGTTAGGGGAGGGTTGGCGCCTTCAAACATGTTTAACCCCGCCAAATTCTATATGTGCCTGTCCCAAGTCAGGAGACTACTTGAGTAGTTGTCGTTTATTTGTGTTTCTCATATTTGTTTTTCGTTTATTGTTTTGTACTTTGTTCTTATGTTGTGCCGTTACAACACTGTCCCAGGTTATGGGAGGGTTGGCGCCTTCAAACATGTTAACCCAGCCACATTCTATATGTGCCTGTCCTAAGCCAGGAGCCTGTAGTTCAGTGGTTGTTGTTGGTTCATGTTTGTCATATTTGTTTTTCGTAAATTGTTCTGTTATAAATTAGGCCGTTAGTTTTCTAAAATGAATTGTTTCTTATTTTTTATGTCGAGGCCTTTTATAGCCGACTATACTGTACGGGTTTTTCTCATTGTTGAAGGCCGTATGGTTGCCTATAATTGCTTACATCCACTGCATTTGAACTGTGGTGGTTAATGGTCTTATTGGCAACCATACCACATTTCCTTATTTTTATATAATGTCATATGGCCCCGTTTAAAGATTATACATTAATATGCCTTATCCAACAAACTAAGAAAAAGAAACACGATATTGAAAAAGGAATGTAGAATCATGTTTAATAATTATGATTGAAGCTTACATATGCTTTCAAACATGCCGAAATCTGCTACAAAAACAGAAAAAAATAGACCCAAGTGAGCATTACAATGTCTGTAGAGCTTCGAGTTGCTTGTGAGTTAAAATATTTGATTTTTTAAAATTGACTTAGATTTCAGTGTTTTCTAAATTAAATTTTATTAATGATTTACAGGAGCAGGAATAAGCTTTTCAATAGACAAGGTTGCAGAGAATCTATTTGAAGCTTTGGTCAGTTTTCATAGGAAGACTACAGATATCTCTGAAGTTCAAGTAGTAATTTATGAGAAGGACAAATTATCTCAATTCCTGGCAGCCATGCAGAACTGCTTACAGTCACAGAGTTACCAATCACAAGGACTGATCAGTAAAGTTAAAGGAATTTTTGGATATGGTAATGTCAGATCTCTATTATCTAGCTTAAAGTTAAAGGAATGTTTGGATATGGTAATGTCAGATCTCTATTATCTAGCTTAAAGTTAAAGGAATGTTTGGATATGGTAATGTCAGATCTCTATTATCTAGCTTAAAGTTAAAGGAATGGTTGGATATGGTAATGTCAGATCTCTATTATCTAGCTTAAAGTTAAAGGAATGTTTGGATATGGTAATGTTTGATATCTATTATCTGGTTTAAGTTCCAGGAATGTTTGGATATGGTAATGTTAGATCTCTATTAACTAGCTTAAAGTTATAGGAATGTTTGGGTATGGTAAAGTTAGATCTCTATTATATAGCTTGAAGTTAAAGGAATGTTTGGATATGGTAATGTTAGATCTCTATTATCTGGTTTAAGTTACAGGAATGTTTAGATATGGTGATGTTAGATCTCTATTAACTAGCTTAAAGTTATAGGTATGTTTGGATATGGTAATGTTAGATATCTATTATCTGGTTAAATGTTAAAAAGAATGTTTGGATATGGTAATGTTAGATCTTTATTATCTAGCTTAAAGTTAAAGGAATGTTTGGATATGGTTATGTCAGATCTCTATTATCTGGTTATTTAAGATAATTAACTTTTTTTTTAAATAAGTATGGAAAAGGTCATGATGAGATGAAACAGAAAAAGTTGTATTTCATTTATGTCTTACAGGTCTTCTGCTAAAATAAAATGAAAACAACACGTTAAATAATTTCATGCGTCTAATTGTACGGGTTAAGTAGCAGTCACGTTCAGAATTTCACAGAAAGTCTTGTGAAAATGCTCTTTTTAAATATAGAGTTTTACCAAAGATTCATTTCAGAACCACCATCTCTGTCCTGTAATCCTCTTATTTAAGTGGGTTTCAAGGGTGCTGATTTTAAAGTACTTTAGGGCTATTCCAGGGAAAAATGTATGGGAGGGTTGGACACCAGATGATATTTTTATCTCTGAAGAATACAACTTCTAAAGAAAATGCTATTTTATTACAAATGAAACTAATAATTATGAATGATGGGGTATATATAAAAAGGTGTTTTCTACCCCCTTACATTTTCCCCTTGAATAACCCCTATCTAATTTAAATCAAGTACAAATATTAAAATTTGTGTTCTAGGAGAAAAGAAATCAGTATCTACAAAGCAATGGAAAGTCAGTAAGATGCCAAGCTCTGTTCTGAATCTTGTTGTTTATGCCAAGAAACAGATTGATGCAGATTCAGCACTACGGTCCTTAGAAGAGAGCTTGATCAATGATTATAAAGAAAAACTTATTGAGGATACTGTAATTAAAGAGCTCACTAAAGAACAAGTGAGGTTTATTACTTTAGCTTAGTGAAAGGTTTATTTAAGATTTAGCTAAGCGAAACGAGTTAGTTAAAAAGCTAATTTCTTATAACAAATTAGTTTTAGAATTATCTGGACTCAATGAAACACTTTAAAAATCTTAAAATACGTTTAACGTATATTAACGTTTGTGCATAAATGTATACGACTTAAGAATGATAGATGTTAAAAATCATAATTATTTGATGATATTAGTTTTGCTTATTGTCGAAAGCTGTATGTGTCCTATAGTTGCTTGAATCCACATCATTTAAAGGGGCATTAGCTACGAGATATAAAAATAATTCAATAATAAATGAAAGTGAAATAGTGAATTAATAATTCGCTTTTAGCAGCCAGTTTAGTTAAATTTTGTCAAAATAAGCTAAGAAACATCGCTGATGAATTATTCACTTGCAAGTGAATAATTCGACCTCATTGAATCCGTATTCATGTGACCTTCAATTGAATCCCTTAGCTAGAGATTGGTTACGCATGTATTAGGCGTGTACAGCCATTAAAAGGAAAAGAATGTCAACATTGAAAGTGAAACAGAGGTGAACCATTTCGTTGACTGATTCGATCCACAAAAAAATCATTCTTTTACAGGTAAAAACGATGATTAACTTATTTTTTTAAAATATAACATGATATCAAACAGATCTTGAAAAATCCAATTGCACGTGGTCGCAATCTATTTATATTTATGTTTATTTTTATATCGGGTTATGTGACCGTCGACAGTCTTCGGAGGTCATCTCGATGATTAATTAGATGGCGTCAAGACTAAAATACACACAAAATGCTGATATATATTGTCGGGTCCATGCATTGTTAATTCTTTATATCAGACTTACTGTAATGTGGATATATTTTAAGTATGTTATAAATCAAGTATGAGAATTTGAGTCAAATCGGTGAACATAAATTTGACAGCTAATCCCCTTTAAACTTTCTTAGATAGTTGTCTCATTAGCAATCATACCACATCTCCATATTTGTTTCCCGTGCAACGCGTTGTGGGGGACATAGAAATACCGGTCGTCCGTCTGTCAGTCCGTCCGGTCTTGTTAGCACTCTCACGTGTACAATTCTTGCCAGATTTTAATAAAACTTATATCATATGTTTATATCAGCAATGTCTTGGACGAGTTTGAAAAGCAGTGCCGATCAATTATTTTTAAAAGAGTTATGACCCTTGGAAACATTAATTATGTGGAAAACTGCATCGTTAGCGCTCTCATGTGTTCAATTCTAGCCAGATTTTTATTGAACTTATATTATAGGTTTATATCAGCAATGTCTTTGACGAGTTTGAAAATCAGTGCAAATCAAAATTTTTTAAAAGAGTTATGCCCCTTGGAAATTTCAGTTATATGGAAGATTGATTTATGAGGGCTCTAATGCGTACAATTCATGCCAGATATTTATGAAATTTATATTATAGGTTTATATCATCAATGTCTTCGATTAGTTCAAAAATTTTTGCTGATCAATTATTTTTAAAATAATTATGCCCCTTGGAAATATTGATTATATGGAAAATTGCATTGTTAGCGCTCTCATATGTTCAATTCTTTCCAGAATTTTTTGAAACTTATATCAGCAATGTCTTTGACACTTTCGAAAATAAGATCTGATCAAATATTTTTAACGAGTTATGCCCTTGGAAATATTAATTATAATGGAAATCACATTGCATTTGCTCTGAAGCCTTCATTTCTGTAAGATATTAATGAAAAGTTTTAAAGAACAAAACAAAAGTGCTTTTTTTAGTTATTGCCCTTGTACCTTGGAAAGATCAAATATGTGCAACGCGGGGGACATTGTAACTCTGTTCTTTTATTTATATGGTTTCAATATACGTATCAGCAAATTGAGTTTGCGTTAAGGCGAAGTGTCTGAAGTTAACTACTCCGCTTTTTTAAAAATTTTACCTATGAATAGTGCTTGCAAATTTTCACCAGAAAAAGAAACAATGGAGGTAACCGTAGTTTTTTTAATAGATACGAGCATGTGACATTAATTGCTTGATAAGATATATAGGGAAAATAAAAAAAACGAATCTGTACGTGCGGAGAAATTTCTAAGCATCCGTTCTAGTTTTAAGCTATATCCTGCAAAAGTTTGGATATCATAAGAAAATTCAGAAAATTTTCAGCGACGTTGTTGATGTAAACATTGATGCCCGGCCTCGTCTTATAACTTTTGTTCCACTGAGTACGATAAACGTGAGTGTTATCTGCCATTTTGTTAATATTATTATGAAACCTTTTCAAGAATCTTCAATTGATAGGAAATTTAGATTATTTTTTGGCAATGCAATAAATGCCGAAAAATGTGTACAAATTGGCATATTAAATACACCCAGTGAAAGCAAGTCACTGTTATCTTTAGGTAGTGTTCAAATTTCATCAGATTGGAATATTATGTGTACTATATAATTATCAACAATCGATTTTAGTTACCTTCCACATCAATTTTATTGTCGAGTCTGCGACATTTTGTCGTAGAAGCGAGACATATTGATCCTGCATTCCATCGTCGGCGTTGTCAATATTTAGGTTGTGTCTGGGGTTAAAGTTTTTACAGACATCAATAACTTTGTTAAAACTTCATGGACATTCATGAAACTTGGACATAAGCTTTTTTTTTATAATCAACAGACTGAATCAAGAGTAAAATTTTGAAAATATTTTTTTTGTTGATACCTCGACTTTTATGTCGCGAAAGCGAGACAGAGCAATCGTAGATTCCGTCGTTGGTGGCGGTATTGGCTTCGCAACATTAAGGTTCAGTCTGTCGTTAAAGTATTTTTAGACATAAATTTAATAAATTTGGACAAAATCTTTTTTTATGACCAAAATACAGTATCCAGAGCAAAATTTTGACAATGGTTATTTTCATTTTTGCGTATTGTACTGAAATGGAATAATTTTATTCTTACCGTCAACACATTTAGATAGGGTCTACGGTTAAAGTTTTTTCAGTCATCTATTACTATGTTAAAGCTGCATGTAATTTTATAATTTTCTTTATTTTACTGATTAAGGGACTATTTTTTTTTCACTGTTAGCATTCAGATACAGTCTAAGGTTAAAGTTTTTCAGTCATCAATTACTTTGACAAACCTTCTTGTATTTTTTCATAAGTTGGACTTTTTTGTGGTAAAAAAAACAGTAACCAGAGCAAAACAATGAAAATATTTTTTTCATATTTGTATTTTACTGATAAAATAACTTAGAATGTGCAAGTAACAAGTAGATACAGACTTGGGTTAAAGTATGTTACACATCTACAAATGTAATTAAATTACTTTTTCCAAACTTCATAGAATTTTATGATACTTTGGCAGAAGATTTGTTGATTAAGAGATATTGTCTGAAGTTAAATTTTTAAGATTCAATTCTTTTTATTTTTATACTTCCGTTTACGGGACGTATTATGGTATACCGTTGTCCTCCGTCTTTCTGTCCGTCCCGTTCATCGTCAACATGTCGGACAATAACTCAAAAAAGGCTTTAACCAATTTTTATGAAACTTTGGAGAATTATGTATATCTATTGACCTAAGCTCCCTTTCGATTTTTATAAATTTTAGATTTTACGTTTCTGAGTTATGGTATTTTATTCATAAAAAAGGGTGGATTTTCTAGTTTTCGGGCAATAACTCAAAAATGCTTTGAGCAGTTATCATGAAACTTTGGTGAGTGGTTTATATCTATTAAAATAAACTCCTTTTAGTTTTTTTTTTTCAATAAATTTATGATATGTCATTGAGGAGTTATGGAACTATATTCGTTGAAAAAGCGACGGGCGTATCATGCGCTCATGGCGCAGCTCTTTATTCAGTATTTTCTTGATAGTTTTTTTGAAGTTAACATTTACAGACAGTCTGGGATTATTTTGATATGATAGATTTGTAAACCTTCATGGATTATTATAAACTTGGACAAAAGCTAATCTTAAAGATCAAGAAATAGTATCTAAAGAAAAGATTGATTCTTTTTTAAATTCTATATTTTACTGATAAATGGACTCACTTTTTACAGTCAATTACACTTTTATACAGACAGCAGCAATCGCAGGCGAGACACAGGGTTTTGTGGAACTCTTCACGATTTGTCTGATTATTACTGATAAATGGACAGTTTTTGTCCGCAGTAAACTTGAAGGCACAGTCTAAGGTTAAAGTTTGTATAGGCCCGTTTACGGGACATATTATGGTATACCATTGACCGTCTGTCCGTCCGTTCGTCCGTCGTCAACATGTCGGACATTAACTCAAAAAAGCTTTAACCAATATGCATGAAACTTTGGTGAATTGTTTATATCTATTGACGTGAGCTCCCTTTCTTTTTTTTAAATTTCAGATTTATCGTTTCCGAGTTTTGGGGTTTTATTCATTAAAAAGGGGGGATTTTCCAGTTTTCCGACAATAACTCAAGAATGCTTTCACCAACTTGCAAAAAATTTTGGTGAATTGTTTATATCTATTGACATGAGCTCCCTTTGGGATTTTTATAAATTTTAGAGTGAACGTTTCCGAGTTACAGGGTTTTATTCATAAAAAAAGGGGGATTTTCCAGTTTTCAGACAATAACTAAAAAACGCTTTCAGCAGTTCTCATGAAACTTTGGTGAATTGTTTATATCTGTTGATGTAAGCTCCCTTTAGAATTTTATAAATTTTAGATTTTACATTTCTGAGTTATGGGGTTTTATTCATTAAAAAAGGGGGGATTTTTCAGTTTTTGGACAATAACTCAAAAATGCTTTCAGCAGTTCATATGAAACTTTGAGGAATTATTTAGCTATTAATGTAATCTCCCTATTGATTTTCATAAATTTCAAATATGACATTGAGAAGAAATTGAACTTTATTTGTTTATAGTCTGACAACAGATTTACTAAGTATTGCACAACAGCACAGTGTATTGCACAACAGCAAGAAATCTTTAATTGAATATAAATTCAATTCATATAACCAATTTCAAGTTCTTTGACTACATATATTCAGAAACCTATAATATGTCAAATATTTAATTACAATCCAAATTCAGACCTGTATCAAGCTTGAATATTGTGTCCATTTTTGCCCCAACTGTTCAGGGTTGGACCTCTGAGGGCGTATCCAGCTGCGCTCAGCGAAGCAGTTTATTTAGATATCAATAACTTTGTAAAAAATCTTTAATGGATTTTTTCAAAACTTGGAAAGATGCTTTTTATGATCAATATACAGTACTCACATCAAAATTTATACAATCTTTTTTAATTTTTTCGCTTGTTACTGAAAGAAGATTTTTTTTTTGCATTTTGCATTTAACATTCAGATACAGTTTGTGGTTAAAGTTTTTTAAACATCAATTACTTTGTCAAACATTAATATAATTCATGAAATTTGGACAAAAGCATTTTTTTATGTTTAAGATATAGTGTTTGAATCAAAATTTAGAAAAAATATGTTTTTCTTGTTTCCATATTTACTGATAAATTGACTTGCATACAGTCTAGGATTATATTTTTAACCGGATTTTCGAAGGAAATATCAGTTATTGATTTGGTGATTTACGGCGGGCGGGCGGCTGCCAAACAGTGTCCGTTCAATAACATGAAAACATTTTAATGAAATTTTTTCAAATTTAGATATGTTGTTTCCTGTGACTAAATGAAGGTCAAGTTCAATTTTCACGATTTTAGCTTTTCTCCTTGTTGAGTTATCGCCCTTTTTAATATCCAAAAGAGGTATCTATAATGTGATTGAGTTATTTCTCTTTGTACAGAAATAGTTTGATTACAATAAGTGTTTTTAAATAATTTTCTCCTGTTATCAGATTATGACAAAGCATATGGTAAATGTCTTATCTCACAATTATAATTGGAGTGACAGATTTATTTGAAAATTCTCTGTTTCCTAAGTGCTGATGATTATAAGCTATATAGGACTGTATAAATATAGTAAGAAATTTATTGGTCATATTTAGACATTTTGTAGATAATTAAGTCTCCCTAAACCATATATATTCTTAATCCCACCCCTTCAATTTGAGAATGTGCTTTTATCTTGTAAACGGTCGAGATCCCCACCCCTAAACCCTATATATTCTTGTATGGGACAATAAAACAAATGAAATGAAATATTGGGGGAGTCCCCGGGTGCAACTTGTAAACGGTCAAGATCCCCACCCTGAAAACATATATATTCTTGTATGGAACAATAAAACAAATCAAATGAAATAAAAGGCGAGTCCCCTGGGGTCACCCCACCCCCTCCTGTTTTAGAACTTGTAAACGGTCGAGATCCCCACCCCTAAACCATATATATTCTTATATGGGACAATAAAACAAATCAAATGAAAAATAGGGGAAGTCCACGGGGGTAACCCCCCACCCCCCTTCTTTTTGAAAACTTGTAAACGGTCAAGATCCCCACCCCGAAATCATATATATTCTTGTATGGGACAATAAAAGAAATCAAATGAAATATAGGGAAGTCCACGGAGGTAACCCTCACCCCCCTTCTTTTTGAAAACTTGTAAACAGTCAAGATCCCCACCCCGAAACCGTATATATTCTTGTATGGGACAATAAAAGAAATCAAATGAAATATAGGGAAGTCCACGGGGGTAACCCCCACCCCCCTTCTTTTTGAAAACTTGTAAACGGTCGAGATCCCCACCCCTAAACCATATATATTTTTGTATGTGACAATAAAACAAATCAAACGAAATTTAGGGGAAGTCCCCTGGGGTAACCCCCTCCCCCTTCTTTTTGAAAACTTGTAAACGGTCAAGATTCCCACCCCTAAACCATATATATTTCTGTTCGTCAATTCAAGAAGATTTGAATGACATACAGGGTCAATCCATAGGCGTCACTTATGCATATCACAAACCAATTTGTACTGGACTTTGCCCAATGTCAGGCGACCATGGGAATGACGAATTATGGGAGCTTTGTTTGGGAAACTTCGTAACAGCATCCTGTTACAACTATTTCTTGTTACTATTAAGTTTTATAGATTTTGAAAAGACATTGTATTAATGATAAATAAAATTTTAGATTTTTTTTCTTCTTTTCTTTGGTAAATTGTTTGAAGAATTTTGTGGCAAGTTTGTTTGTTATTCTGTAAAAACTAATTTTCTGAATGCTATATATTTTTTTGATGAAGTTAACTCCTTTAAAAACTAAGCTTATATTGTCTTATAATAAACATATATTTAGATTTCTGATTTTGGGCCCAGTTTTCAAGTTGGTCCAACATAAATTGAATATATATAGGGTTCTTTGAAATGCTTAATCTAAACCTGTATTTCTTTTCATTATTAATAAGATAATACCACATTGAGGTCCAAAGGGTCCATAATTAAACTTTTGTTTAATTTCATCAAAAATTGAATTCTTTGGTTCTTTGATATGCTGATTCTAACAATGTTTGAGTGTTAAATCATATCTAGTTTTAGAGAACTTAGTCATCACAGGTTGTGGTTATTATATTATTGATTATATTTATGAAAAATTGCATCATATCTTATTTTAGAGAACTATTTATCCAGTTTGAGTTATTTCCCTTTGCACAGAAAATATTATGGATAAAATTAAACTGTGTTTCATTTCAACATAAATTAAATATATATAGGGTTCTTTCAAATGCTGAATCTAAACCTGTATTTAAATATTAGATTTTTGGGCCCAGTTTTCAAGTTGGTCCAAATCAGGGTCCAAAATTAAACTTTGTTTGATTCAACAAAAATTGAATTTATTGGGTTCTTTGAAATGCGGAATCTAACCATGTATTGAGAGATTTTGGATTCTGGGCTCCTGTATCAAATTGGTCCACATTGAGGTCCAAAGGGTCCTAAATTAAACTTTTGTCTGATTTCATCAAAAATTTAATTCTTGGGGTTCTTTGATATGCTGATTTTAATATGTACTTAGATTTTGGATATCGGACCATAATAGGTAAATGTCCAATTTCAAATATTTCAATTCTTTGACCACATTCATTTTGTGTCACAAACCTATGCTGTGTCAAATATTCAATCACAATCCAAATTCAGAGCTGTTTAAAGCTTAAATTTAGTGTCCATACTTGCTCAACTGTTCAGGGTTCGACCTCTGCAGGAAAATCCTTTTAACGAGTTACTAAGTCGTAATACGTCGTTTTAACGACTTAAAATAAAAATTGCACCTTGACACTAACCGGCTTCCGTAGTTCTGTGATTGAATTAAATCTCATTAGACTTTTAATGTAATCAATTCAACTATGTAAACATATTTAAATACATTTAGGTTTCTCATAACCATAGGTAACAAGATCATCAACATCTGTATCATTACTAGTGTAAATAAAGTATTGGCAATAACATATAAACTAATAAAGAAGATAGGATATTGGGTATCCATCAATGACACAAAATCAGTACAAGCACAGCAAGAAACACAAAGGTTCTTCATCTCAAAGTCACAGTGAGGCCTTCAAAACGGAGCATATTTTATAATAAGTCAAATAAAAATATCAGAAAACCCTTAATAAAAAATCAGCTTAAACAATAGAGATAAATGTGAACTGAGAAAAAGAAATGGAATTTAAATACATTCTTCTCAGGACTTACACACAGGGAAGAAAATTCTTTTTGATATTTATTCACAGGAATTAACAAATTCAGGAGCTTTGAGGACGTAAATGTCAATAAATCATGTACAGCAACACTACAGTACATAAGAGAAAAAGGAAAAAAAAAAGTTTTACTTTACTGAAAATTTCTTTGGTAATAGAACCTTTATATTATTGAAGAATAAAAAAAAATAATAGATAAAAGGAAAAAATATAAATAAAAAAACATCCAGTCATTGTTAGGGTTGTTCCAGAATTGATTGTATTGGGGGGTCAGAAAGCACTACTGTTAAAAATCTATGGGTGGTGCCTATTCTGAATAGATAGCATGAACAATTTTCAGAAATAATCAAACAAGAATGTATGCATGGTGGGATAGGATACAAAGGACCCTCTAACCCCTTTTATATTTAATTCTGGAACAGCCCTATGGTATAATATTGAAATTGAATATTTAATGTTTTCTCATGTAGGAAGCTAAAATCTTGAAGTTAGAAGAAACATGTGAAGTAGAGATAGAATTTAATAAAAGAATAGGTCGTATCAAATTCAGAGGTTTGATAGAAAATCTGTCCGAGGCTATGGATGAGGTCCACAAAAATTTGCGAGATGTTGAAAGACAAAGACAGAAACAACAACATGCTAAGTTAGTAGCAGACATGGTGCAGTGGTATTTTATTTCTGTAGAAGATACTGGACAAAAGTTGGAGGAGTATCCAGCAGAAGTTAATCTAATTTTAGAACAAGCTTTAAAAAACAATGAATCACAGGCAATCTACTTCGATAAAAGTGGAAATAGGTATATTGTGGATTTTAATAATTATGAGGCATTTCCTGAGGATGATCCATTTGATTATGTTGCTGTTCTCAGAAAGTCTAAAATGACAGGTAAATTTGGATATCAGTATAAACATGGGCATATATGGGATAGATTCATATTCTTTACACTGGTAACAAATATTTTACCCCGACTCCAAGAGTGGGGAATGGGGACCATATTGCAATTACTTTGTCCGTCCCATTTTCCTATTGTTCAATACATGATTTATTCACACTGGTATGAGGAACAGCTAAGATAATGACTTCATATTTTATCAGTAGTTTGAAAGTGACAACTTGTAACATGTGATGACTTTTGAGATATGTCAGATACTTACTTTCTGTATGCTGATTTTTTTATCAATAATAAAAAACTAAAAGTCATTTTTCTCCGGAACGTATAGTAATAAAATTGAGAATGGAAACGGGGAATGTGTCAAAGAGACAACAACCCGACCAAAGACCAGAAAACAGCCGAAGGCCACCAATGGGTCTTCAAAACAGCGAGAAAATCCCGCACCCGGAGGCGGGCTTCAGCTGGCCCCTTAAAAAATGTATACTAGTTCAGCAAAAATGGACGTCGCACTGAACTCCAAAATATATAAATGAACCAAAATTAAAAAATAATACAAGACTAACAAAGGCCAGAGGTTCCTTACTTCGGACAGGCACAAAAATGCGGCGGGGTTAAACATGTCCTCCCTATACCTCTATCCAATGTAGAATAAGCAAACACACAGCAATACGCACAATAAAACTCATATAAAAAGAAATCCGAGTCCGATGTCAGAATAGGTAACAATAAGAATGTTTTCATATTAGGTCAGCAGCTTGACATGATAACTTATAATGTGGAGGGCTTTTCAAATCTGTAAGTCCCGAACGTCCTGTTTTCCGATAATTCTAATTACGAGTAGGGGTATTCTTAGCATGACAGCACATGTAACCTCTGGTTAAACATCTTGCAATGCGAATGGTAAATGAAATAGTTTGGCAGTATCTACTTTTTATTTTTTTATAGATAATATATGTTGTTCAAAGAAAAATAAATATTGAGAGGAAAAGCAGAAATTAAATAATTAAAAGTATTGTGTATAATAAGTTTTATGTATGATTGCAGATTATGCTTTTGAAATGCCACCTAACTGGGCATCCATGGATCAAAATGAGAATATAAAGATTGTTACATTACAACCTGCTGATAAAGAATACCAAGATGTTGTACAAGATTTTCAGATGAATATGGCAGGAAACTATAAAAGTATTATAAAGGTATCATGAATGAAGTAAAGCCAATTGTATTAATGCTAAAATGTATGTTTCGGAATCATTAAATTATTTTAAGTGTTGTGTTTACCCCAGAAATGAAGCATATCAATGATATCAAAATGATCATAAAAGAAAAAAGTAAACTATTTTGAAACATTCTATCTTTGGAGATAATAAATAATCATTTTTTTTTCAATCTGATTTTACATGAAGGTAGGTTAAGTGATAGATTTGTTCATTTCTTAATATAAAATTATAGACAGATGAACATTCTCCATTCTGATATATATGACTAAAGGCAAATATAGGTATTTATCAATGGGACAACACAAAATAGAAAAAGGCATATTGAAGTCAACATTTTACGGACGCCATTAGGAGTTTGTTGACCGTTAGGGAATATCCGTTTCACAGATGATAGCGGATATGTTCCAAATGTCGTAACTACAATCCCGTCCCCTTTTCCCCGAATGTGACCTACCGAATTAGACTTATTACCGTGTTTGTACTAACATGAGCAACTCGACGGGTGCCACATGTGGAGCAGGATCTGCTTACCCTTCCAGAGCACCTGAGATCCCCCCCCCCCGATTTTGGTGGGGTTCGTGTTGCTCAGTCTCTAGTTTTCTATGTTGTGTGTTGTCTACTATTGTTTGTCTGTTGACCTTTTTCTTTTTTAGCCATGGTTTATCAGTTTATTTTCAAATTATTAGTTTGTATGTCCCTTTGGTATCTTTCGCCTCTCTTTTTATTCTAATAAATTTCCTCCAAAATATAACATTTGTCTCTACCTTGTGGAGATAAGTTTAAGATATCAATTTATCTTTTTAGATGGAGAAAATACAGAACAAAACTTTACAACAACAATATGAAGCTAAAAAATTATCAATGCATTCTACAAATGCTACAGGAACTAATTATGAACGTAAACTTTGGCATGGTACAACCATGGAGGCAGTGGATAGTATTAACACTTTTGGATTCAATAGAAGTTATTGTGGAAAGAATGGTAATTAAAATCAACAAAAGCAATTTTCTGGTTATATTTTTGTCATCTTTTTTTTTATCACATTTCCTCTCTAAATTTCTTGGGTATTTATTTACTTGAAATTTCATGGAATATAGACCCCGAACTTTCACCTATATTGAAAAAATATTTTCGTTAAATTTGTTTTTAAATTATTACCAGTAGATACTACTATTGAATATACCCACATTATAAGAGGTAAATAACCACAACAATATTACTTTTTTTCAGCTGTGGCATTTGGTAATGGAGTTTACTTTGCTGTCAATCCAACTTATTCTGCTCAGGCCCATTATGCTCGTCCTGATCCCAATGGTAACAAGAGGATGTATATGTGTAAAGTTCTAGTTGGAGATTTCGCCAAAGGACAAGGTGGCATGAAAGTTCCACCACCTAAACCAGGAGCTGCTGGGGGCCATATTTTATATGACAGTGTTGTGGACAATCCTCAAAATCCTGGCATCTTTGTTATATTCCATGATTCTCAGGCTTATCCTGAATATCTCATTGTTTTTAAATGATACATATTTACGGCGTGGAAGTTTATTCCACAAATAACTCGTAGCAAGCCATTCTCCCCTAAAAAGTATAAGAATTAAAAAGAAAATTGTCATAAAGTTTATAATTTTGATCATTTTATCATTCCGACATTTTATAAAAACATGCAGATAGTTAGTTTAATTCCATTTATAATGAAGTTTATATATTTTGATAATTTCATCAATCAGGGATTAGAAAATTCATTAAAGTATGATTATCATAAATTTTCTTTCATATTGAGGAAATATTTAACCAGTTTTCAAAGTAATTTCTTATGTAAAAGTGTATATTAAAGCCGCTTTCCCTTCAAAAACCATGTTTTTTATTCTATTATTATAGTAGATATCTAAGAAAGTGTTTCGTCAAATATTATTGAACAATGAATTTACTATTGGTACTGTGAATACTGTGGATTCATTAATAATTGTTGTACATGCTATAATTTTTGTGGATTTCATGGGTAGGGATGCTTTGTTTTCTTAGTTTTACTACTGTGACATTTGTTTTTTTTTCCACATTTTTGATATATAAAAATGAAAAGATATCGGGAAGTCATAGACCATATAGTCATTAGCCTATGACTTCATTATTTAGATTATATAGTAAAATCATTTTTTTCAAGCCTGCAACATTTTGTCGCGGTAGTGTGACATCGTGATCCTATATTCTGATGTCATTGGCGTTATTAATATTTAGGTTCAGTCTGAGGTTAAAGTTTTGTTAGACCAGGGACTTTCTATACTAACGGGACTCGTCTCTATTGATTTTGACTAATTACTAAGCCGCCTGTTTAAAGCTACCACCCAACAATAAACTTAGTTTCGTATCTCTGATATACGATGCTAGTAGTTATTTGCGTATTAATTTTCACGGTTCTTTGTAATTATATAATTATTATTAGTTGTTAATATAAAATCTGATTAATAGCCATTTACGATGACAAAAAATATAAGATTTTGAAAGAATGATGAATTATCAAACTTAGACGTATCGTTTTAAAGAACATCCCAGTTGTGTAAAATGGTTTACATATCAAACAAGATGGCGGCTACTGAATATTCAACGAATAAATACCTCAAAGTTCAAAGATCAATATTTCAAAAACGAACCGAGAAATCTTTTGAAAAACAACATTTGCAATGACAAAATGTATAAAATTTCATAAAACCGATTTTTTGTTAAACTTGAAAATTTAGTTGTGAAGAACACTTCGTAAATGTGAAATGATTTGCTATAAAGTCACGTGACATCAGCTACGGCCGAGATCAGTCTGATAATTTGTATAGACATCGTCATAAGTGACCAGTCCCGTTAGTATAGAAAGTCCCTGGTTAGACATCAACGACTTTGTCAAAACTAGAAACCAATGATGGTATATGATTTCCATTTAAATTAATTTAAAGAACTAATTGCACTCATATTCAACACAAACAAAGGTTTTTAAAAGTATCTTAATTTTCATATTGTTCACATTTAATAAAAGATAACTTTTACAGAAGCAATTAAAATAACTGATTGCAAATAACAGTGCATTAATTTTAATAAAAAGAAGAAATATGAACAACTTAAACAATACTAACAGCATTTGTGTAGCTTATCTCTTATTTATATAATATTTTATTATAAACACCCATCCTGATGTACAAAAAATATAAATTCGTTTTGCTCAGTCTTTAGTTTTCTATGTTGTGTTTTGTATACTGTTGTTTGTCCTTTTGTCTTTTTTCTTTTTTGCCATGGCGTTGTCAGTTTATTTTACACCTATGAGTTTGAATGTCTCTTTGGTATCTTTCGCCTCTCTTTTGAAATATCAAGCATTTAGTTGCTGCGTAGGACGTTAACCATCCAACCGGCCGACGTATAGAAAGAAAAAAGATACAAGGACGTAACAACAGGATGATTCATACTTTTCTGCAACAAAACAAACACAGACGCACCCTTAACAACACACGCGTATGTAAACTGGCATAACAAGAAACTGTGCATCCTTAACAGATGCTTAAAATTTCGTTACTTTGAAGTTTTAGTCAATAGTGCTTTTTGTTATGTTTTTGTAAAATTTTGAATTGAAGGACTTCTTTTACCAAAATGAATTAATTTGAATCTGTAACAAAATATAATATTACTTGAAACAGAAATTTGAATCTAGTTAAAAACGTCTTCCTATTTTTGAGATTGATACTCAAATTTTGCCAAAACGTATCAAAATTGCTAATTTTAGGCATATGTATGTATTTATGAGTTGGTCACATGTTAGAAGTACGCCCAAATGTTGTTTTAACCTTACATAACCGAATTTTAGCAGAGATTGAAGGACTTTTACAAAATGATACTTGTTCGAAATAAATGTTCTGAAAAATCGGCATTAATTTATTTTTGTTCATCAAAATATACATATATGACAAAATGTATGAAAACTGTCATCTTAAATTTATTTTAGCTGCCTAGTGTATCGGAGCTTTTACAATATAGTTTGCTTTGACGTATAATGAGTATGGTAGTGAGACAATCAAATCGATACACTGTAAGCTTATGAAATAGATACTGAATTAAAACAAATGAAATAAAAACGAATTAATATAGATACTTGTTTTACAAAATTGAAATGAAAAAATCGTTTCGTCCTTTGTATACACAATTCTTATACTATTTGCTATTTGTGTTTCAAAATCTCCAATACATAAAAATAAAATGATCTGAGGACACGTATACCCAAGCTCAAGCTTTGCAATTTCAAAAAGTTAAAAAGGGGCATAACTCTAGAACGCTAAGTGACTCAAAGCCCAAATTCATACTCTGTCTGCTAGTTTTCGTTCTTAGCATTGTTTATGAGTTTCATAAAATTTGATAGGGAAAACTTAAATTAAAAGAGTGCGGAAACGAAAATAGGACGGACGGACGGACAGAAAGACGGAAGGACGGTCAACGGTAACACTACGGCGGGGGCATAACAATTCAAATTCTGATGAAATGCTCATGGGGATAAACAGTTATCAATATAATTGAGGTATGTGTTGAACCTTATAATATATTGTCGTAAAGGTCAGTCAAATACGATGTTTCTTCCTGTAAAAACGCATTACAGCACTGGGAAATCTAGTGAAAAAGAACAAAAGAAAATTACCTCTTCTTATGATAGAGTCGAGAAAATCAATAATAAAACAAGGCCGGTGACGACACTGATCAAAAGTTATTTCTAAATAACAATTGTACATTTTAAAGAAATTATTTGTTAAACTGTGTTATTAGAAATATACATGCAAATACACGATGTTTTATGTTCAGTATTTATCGAGATAATTGCATTAGAAGCTTGTGAAACTGGAATCTAAAAATTGCCAATCTTTCTGCATATTGATAAAAAAAATTGGAAAAAATCATGTACATACAAAATCTAAAGATCTTTCGGGTCACCAATTTTTGGAGTGTTCCACAAAGTTCTTAGCATGTTACAATTTCCCAAAATATACTTATTTTTCACATTCGAAGTTTTCGAGTACACCGGTCTGCTCTTGTCACATGAAAATTTAGTATAGAAATATTGTCTTTTCATGAATATTACAATATAACTGTCTGTCTGTGCAGGTTAAAAAATTAAAGATAAATATTCTTATAAAGTAGGCATCTTTTTACTATTTTTTAAAAAAATTTAAAAAAAGGTCGTCTCGATTTTTGTACATGTATTTGCGGTCTTCTCGATCTATTCACATTCAATGTTTACATCGGGTTAAGGTCCGTTTGAATTTGCTTAGTAACTTAATTTCAAAAGTGCCAATCTTTGCTGCATATCAATCGATTACTTTGGTATTGTTTTAAAAACAATTGTTAACGGTCTTTCCTTTCCGAAACATGATTGATTTTTTTTTATTGATTGATTGATTGATTGACTAATTAAACACATGGGACCGAGCCACTATGAACATGCAAAAAAGGAATTGGGAGCCTAGTGGCCGTGTGTAAACACTAGAGACCTAGCTCTAGAAATACGCGAAAAAGGAATGGGGAGCCTAGTTGCCATGTTGAAACACTTGAGACCTAGCCACTAGGAATTCGCGAAAAAGGAATGGTTAGCCTAGTTTCCGTGTTTAAACACTTTGGACCTAGGCTCTAGGAACACGCGAAAACGGGTCCGTGCAACATGTTTATTGATATTCAAATTATGATATTTGTAGGAACATGCAAGGATTTAAAAACACCCACAAAAAATATCCTTGCATCTTGCTTTATAAATGTTCTCTTTTTTTATTGGGCTTCCCGGAATTTGTGTCTAATGATGTTATTGTGTGTGCATTGTATTAAATTTTGTATTTAAAGGAAATCGGACCTGGCCTGCATGGATCTTTTGTTTTTAAATCTGCGTGCACATTTTAATTCTTTTCGAAAAGGGGAAAACCCCTATTTTATTTAAGGTAGCACGCGCTGCACTGGATGGCGTGATTGTGACGTCACCCAGCTGATATAGACAAATAGACTGTTTTTTTTTATTTCTTTGCAGAGGAGACGTCTTTAAGACCACACCTGTGTATAAAGATTGTGCTAACGAATTGTATTTTAATGCATGCTTAGAAATTTTACTAAAAAAAGGGGGGAGGGGCTAGAGGGGTGGTTGTGCGCCTTGGATGATTAACAAAGATAAATTTCATGTACGCATCATGATAGCTGTAAAGTTTGAAGCTATAATTAGTTAATTTGTTCATTTTTCCATTTCAGTGGTATGGAATCCCCCAAAAAATTACGCGTACCATTTCGATAAAAAGCTCTCCAGTTAAATCATATCGCGACTAACATTTTGTTCACATTTTTTTAAATTTTACCCCGAACTTTTTTCTGAGTAAAAGCAGCTTGAAGTTAATGTCAAAATTTAGAACATGACCTTGACAATTGACCTTGACCTCATTTTCTAAGTTGGGACCCAAGGACCTCAAATAAAACAACTCTAGGTTTATACGGCTTACGGTTTATGAGTTCATATGCATATCACTTATATCAAAATGCATAAGGGGGAAAAAAACTATCATATGGAGTCTCAGGATGGCTTCGGTGAACATTTAGGCAGATCCCGAGGATATAATGAGCAAAATAGTGAAATAATTTTGTCGTAATCTTTTACGATAGCGAAGGAGTAGTGGACACAAGAAAAACAATGTTTGGGGAGATAACTCTTACAAAGTAAAGTGTTCGGTTAAGCAGTGTCAGTTTCAAAAGCGCAATAACTGTTCGATATCATATATGAAAAATATAAGCGACATCTTGCGAAACCACAATACTGCGCAAAAACAAAATGTGGCGGAAGAAAAAAAAAGTCAGGACAAAAGCAATAGGTCTTTCCACGGAAAAGTTGAAAGACTAATAATAATAATAATAATAATAATAATAATAACAACAACGTTAATAACAATGATAATAAAACCGTATGATTTGATATATTTATAGTCATACAGCCAACGTGTCTATGATAAAAATAAAGTCAAGTCTTTGTTGCGATAATTGTGTGGAATTTATGTTACAATAGTCATTAAAGATAAATCTCTGTTTAACTCATTTCTACACGAAGTGTTTTTTAATTATATCTATAACTATGTCAACATTTGATAAATAATTTATGGTTCACCTAACAAAATAAAAGAAGCAAACTTGAAACGTATAAGCACTGTGCAAACACCCAATTTTTTCATCATTAAATCATATATAGTTATTTTGCCTTCCCTGTTCAAAAATCTAGATGTGAACTGTACGGTCATAATATTTTCGGAATCTTTAGAAATAAGTCGACAAAAGTGGACACTGCTGTTATATGTATTGACAGCATTGACTTTTTTTTAGCTTTGTTGTGGATCGTCTTGTACACAGTTGGTGTCGTCTGCTTTCCGTATTGTCTTTCTGATATTATGTCATGGTATTTCTAGTTTTATTTACCTTTTGATTAGTTGTGGTGGCATTGATTATATCTGAAGTACTAACAGCAGCAAGTTTCCTATTTTCCCTTCATTCGACAAGACACAGCGACTATTTTCACAAAAACTCTTAGAAAAAATATTCTTGTTAGTCATGAACATTTCAGTTTATAATAACGGTCAATTTAAATCGTAAGATGTTTTGCGAAAAGAAGGATTTGATATTTCTCGTCCTAGATGAGGGTGACAGGTGTTTCTTTTTTAGGGTTTTATTCGGTTGTGTCCCTTTAATTGCAACAAGTTCCTAAACTTGATATTATTTCAGTTTTTATGATATATATAGTGCTCGAGTTGACTTTAATGTCTTCCCCACTAACTCAATGTGTCCTACCATCTGCTTTACTGGTATTTCATTTGGAAGGTCAATTGTTGAAATAACTTTAAGTTGTGGTCATGGAGCGGATATCACTATTTTAAATCATGCTTCCAAATAACCGCAAACCGATTGAAATATTTTATATGGTCCTCAAGAGGTTTTTGACGCCAATAATATGATACAATTACGCTAAAAACTAATGAAACAGCCAATCACGATAGCTCATATAATTGCCATAAAACCAGCATCTACAAAAAGAGAGCTTTTTAACTGTTCTACGTTTAACATTTGTATGGGGTCAACTAGGTAGTAGAAACCGATTAAATTCTAATGAAAATATTACTAGCAAGGATTGTTGAATTATTTGAGTGTTTGCACAATTTAGGTACTTCAATAAGAACTGTAGTCAAAATTCTTTCGACTTCTGTTATTTTTTGAATTGTAACATTCATCAGGAACGCTGAAAGCCAAATAAGGTCAACTTTGCCAAATGGAGTTGAAACTTTAGTTTCTTTGTAATGAAAAAAAATTATAAGCAGACAATTACAGAAAGGTTTTTTATAAATCATGTCATACCAAAGTATTGACTACTGAGCTGATGATACCCTCAATTTTGTGGGAATATTTTTATAATTTTTCCAAAGTAACAACATTTTTTGAATTGTTGGTACTAATGGAAAAAAAAAACATATAGAAAAAAAAAAAAAAAATTTTAAAAACAAATGCAACTGTTATGTAGAAAAGCTTTATGATCGACAAAATGTAAACAGTATTCTGTATACAAGCTAGCATTTACTTCAATCTGGAAGACTTCGGAGAAGCTGACAACATACCCGTTATAACATCAGCTAACTACTAGTAACAGATTTGAGTTGAAGGATACCGTTTCTAATGGAACACTACTTAACCGAAGGACCCCGCACCACCAACTAGATGGAAGGATGAAACAACGATATAAAGAAGATAGTTTGACATGTTCACCCCAACAACTTCAAGATAATTGAACTACTCAAGAAGACCAAAACAGTAACAGAATGTACAATTATGAAGCATGAAGCAAGAGGAGCTTTTCCACAGATAACAACAATGACTCATTAACGTGATAGTCTTCTATGACATAGCATCATATTTACTTCATTTGAAATGAATGACTTTATGAATATATTATGATTTGTGACTTTGTTAATATATGATTTTGTGACTTTTAGATAAACTTTAAGATATATTATATTTTGGGATATCAACATTATACATATAGTGAT